AACACACTACGACAACTTTGGGGGTTCATGGGGTATTTTCCATATATTGACCTGACTAATTACGAGTCATGATCTGCTATATGCCACATGAAATATAAATCTAAGCACATTACCTATACAAGTAACAATATCGGTGAAAGGTATTAAAAAGCCAAGTACATGGCCTATGTTATAGAGAAAAACATTATAAGCGTTCGGAAGAAAGTTAGAGCATATATCCTTTTTACCAAAAAACAGAGGAAAAACAATACTGAATACAAAGAAACAAACGGAAAATGTGAAACTTGTCTTGACGACGGTCGTCTGCTAAGTATTTAATAACGACACGATTTTGTTCATCAAAGTGTTGTGTCCGTATCAGATGTGTTTGTGGCCAAAGACAGGTATTGAAACCCACAAATGACTGTGCCTCACGTAAATGATCTTCCTTCACAACTGGCTGTTGTCTATTGCGAACTGGAGCAATGGTCGGCGAAGGGACGAGGCATGTGGGGAAAAGGTCAGACAAACACGTAATATCATAGTTGGTTATCCTCCGCACTGGAACAAGATTCGTACTCTCTGCGACTAATAGTAACACCATAAGCATTGCCATGGTTGCCACCTGGACGATATAAAATGTCAAAGTTGTATTACTGGAGAATCACAATCCATCGTGGGTATATACAAACAGGCGATCTAATATCAAAGAGCCAGCGTAAGGTAAAGTGATTCACAACAACTATAAATAGGAACTATTTCAATGACCTTGGAAACAAATCGTAGATTAGATACTGGGCGATAGTTCTGGATCTGGATCTTGCGATGCCTTTTTCAACAGGAGTATGATCAGTGCATCTGTGCAATATATACTATTCAAAAAAAGTAGGGGATATTTGATTTTTAAGTGTTATTAAAGTCACCTAATGAAACTGACGAAGAAACAAATGACAAAATGAAATGAAGTTCACATTCATCGATTTATTCCAAATGATCGTTAGACTAAGTAAGGCACAGACTGACCATTATAAGGGTAAAATGATACCCGGGGTCAAACAGCAAAGTTACCACAGCATCACAACCAAGTCAGTAACGGGTAAATCCTCCTCTGTTTGCCAAACAAGCATTGATCCGACGTGTCATACTCCTAATGAGACGTCTAAGGTCATTTTGGTCCAGATTGTCCCATTCCTGTTGCAACGCAGCAGCAAGTTCTTGGACATTGGCAGGACGTTGTTGACGTTGGCGTAACCTCTGTCCAAGCATGTCCCAGACATGCTCGATGGGGGAGAGGTCGGGACTCAGTGCTGGCCAAGGTAATGTGGTGATGTTCTGTTGTTGGAGGTAACCTGTAACGATCCTGGGCCTGTGACATCTTGCGTTGTCATCCTGGAAGATGAAACGGCGGCCATGACGTCGTGCGAACGGCAGAACATGGACTGCCAAGATGTTGTCCCGGTAGTACTGGCCTGTAACACGCCCTGCAACAACATGTAAAGCCGTTCTTCCAGCAACAGTGATGCCTCCCCACACCATAACAGAACCACCCCCAAATCGATCATGTCTGATGACGTTAACGTCTTGGAAGCGCTCGTTTCGAGGACGCCACACCCTCCTACGTCTGTCCAAAAAATCAACAGTGGACCTTGACTCATCTGAAAACATCACATTGCTCCAGCGTCGATTATCCCAGTGTTGACGATCCCTACACCAACGACGTCTTGCCTGAATGTGATGATCTCTCAAACAAGGGATCACGCGAGGACGTCGGGCGCGAAGGTGCCCCCTATGCAGTCGATTCCGAATCGTCTGGCCACTCACTCTCACACCAGTGTCTGTTTGAAGACGAGCGCTGATCTGATTTGCTGTGATGACACGATTTCTCAAGGCCAAGGTACGAATAAATCAATCCTGGGCTTGAGTTGTCGACCTGAGCGTGGTCTGTCCTGTACAGATTGTGTATCACGGTATCTGGACCATAGCCTGCTTATGACAGACTGAGAAACATTCATCGTCCGCGCCACAACCGCCTGTGTTGTGCCGATCTGTAGCATGCCAAGGGCACGTAACCTTTCATTTTGGGTAAGCCGACGCATATCAAAATTTGTTTTCTGGTCACTAAAACAATTAAACTGATGTTTCCACCCTGGAATTCAATGCCACAATGACTGTAACATTCAAAGTCAGAGTCGTGCAAATCTTGGGTTGGACCCCCATGATGATCCCAAGCATCACCTGCATTCCATGCGGTAGCTATTGGTGCGTTTGGGCGTCACATGTAACTGGAAATGTTTCTTCTGTTAGGTTCTATAGTGACTTTTTTCGTAGTCATTTGCATATTTTAGTATTATGCCACCAAAATCAAATATCCCCTACTTTTTTTGAATAGTATATATATATGCACAGATCTAACAATTCAGAAGTTTCTATATGGAATATATATATACAAGAGTTAGGGTCCTGAAGGGGGTCCTAATCCGAATCCCATTTTCCAGTTCATATTTCGACCCAATCCCACAGTCAACAATCAAAATCACATAATTTTGCTCAAAGTTTCAATCCAATTCTATCGTTTCTTATTACTTTGTGAATCTCAGTCCCAGTGCATTGAATCCTAGTATCTCAATCACAGTGCATCAAATCCCATTTTCTAGTTTCAAAAACAATCGAATCCTAGCTCACAACAATTTTTCGTTTTATTCTTTTTTTTTCTGAATTGTGAGATCTGTGCACATATATTATACAGATCGCCAAATTCAGAAATTTTCTGAATTGTGAGCTTCCTATATTATACCGATCACCAAATTCAGAAAATGTCCATATACCAGTACAGATAATTAAATATAGAAATTTTCTGAATTTATAATTGTCCCACTATCATGACCATAGAAGTATCAATGTCAAGTCCATCAAGGTATATCTGTTGATCGTGAAACTACTGATCACTAAAACAACAGCTCAACGCGATAACATAGTTTATTAGTGACAAATTTAAAACTTCATCCACATACGGTTATTATACTATAGTAATACGTTTTCCTGGACTGATCAGGGACCATCTCACACCGGCAGAAGTAGGTATGGTTTTGTTATTATACAATTGTATTATACAATAGTTTCGGACATGCGCAAATGCCCAGCAGGAAACACACCCACCCAAACACACACACTGTGAGTCAATCCACACTCCCACACGGGGCCTGTAGTGATACAGACTTCAATCAAAATGTAAAACGAACTAACAATAAGGAAATATTTCCCAAAAGTTTTATTACTAATAATATTATATGTGCTACATGAAATATAAATGTAGACACATTGAAGGAAAATACGTACCTTTTATGGGTAACCATAAGTAGAAAACTAAGTAAAAATTAAAAGGACTATGTAGTTATGAAAAAATAGAGGTCAAAACATTATAGTCGTGCTAAGGAATTTAAGTGTATTAATCACAAAGTTTGGGTATAAGTCCTTATTTATAAACAAAAAAAAACCAAAGCAAAAACAAACAAATAAAAAAATTACTAAAACGCGAACTTAAAGTAGCTAAGTCTCTAACTCAGTAGCATCCAAAATCTTGGACATTGAAAGCACGAATTATTTGTCAATTTAAATCAACATTGATGTTGTGATCTTACCGGTAAAAGATGGGCTTCTGACATCCAATATTTAAGACAAAATAAACATTTTACCATTGGTACACGAATCGTGTACCACAATGCGTTTCAGCGCCATTTGTAACAATGGACTCGAAGAACGAGGCTAGACATATCCCACAAATCATGTCAACCGGTGACACCCCATCTTATCTGGAGAGCATGCGCAATAAATACTATCGGTGTAGATTGGAATAACCAGACCCTAGACATTGCCATCCGTTTGAGACTTCTGGCGTATTTCGCGGAACATAACTGATTTGAAATTAGAGTATATACGGAAACGATTGAATGTTAATCAGTTTATATACAATCAGATTGCATCATTATATGCGTTGCGACCCATTTGTGTCAATTTCTAGGTCCAAAATATTAGCGATTTAGCTCCTTTAACAAATTTAAATTTAGATATAGAGTTACAGGTCATACACGATCAGAGCTACTTTTATTAAAACGTCCTCAGCCCCACCCGTAAAATTATTAAATTCAATAAATTATAACTTAAAGGAGCTAAATCGCTAATATTTGGGATCTAGAAATTGACACAAATAGGTCGCAACGCATAATTATAATAATGTAATATGAATGTATATAAACTGATTTATATTCAATCCTTTCTGTTTTTACTGTAATTTCTAATCAGTTATGTTCGACGAAATACGCCAGAAGTCTCAATTGAAGACAATCTTTAGCGTATGGTTATTCCAGTCTAAACCGAAGGTATTTATTGCGCATGCTCTCCATATAAGAATATAGCGTCACCATTTGACATGACTTGTGGAATATGTCTAGCCTCGTTCTTTGAGTCCCTTATTCCAAATGGCACTGAAACGCATTTTGTCTTGAATATTGGATATCAGAAGCCCATCTTTTCCCTGTAAGATCACAAGATCAATGTTGATTAGAATTGACAAATAATTCGTGTTTTCAATGTCGAATATTTTTGATGATATTGAGTTAGAGACTTAGCTACTTTAAGTTAGGGCAATTTTGAGTTACTTTGGTTTCAGCTGATTTCACTCCGTCAAAACACAAATAATAATGAGGTTTTTCAAACAAGCAAACATTTTAAAATATTCGGGAGTATATACTTAGCTTTTGCACATTTTTACCTTTAAGCAGAATTTATTTCCTGCAATCATAAAGGAGATTTAAGTAGGATATGGTGTATTTATTTCAAGTATTGCTACAACAATATTTTTTTTATTTTTCTTTTCGTTCGACGACACGATCAAGAACTTATCAGTATAAAAACAGATGTGATTAACAGTGGATAATAGTTTGTAAAAAAAACAATCTTTTATGTACCCAATACTTCCCTGAAGCATATGACACTGACTCACCATATTGAGTCCTGGCGTGATAAACAGTTGTAATACACCGCACGGATTATAGTGTTCATAATGGAACTAACATCAGTGTTTGTTTGTTGCATCCTAGTGATAGTAATTTGCCATGGAAGTAAAGAATATAGACCTTGTGTCAAGGATTCCAGTTCAAAAACTATATGTTGGTGTTCAGGTGATGGTTATACAGATTGTTCGGGTCATGGGTTAAATTACATACCCGTTCTACCAAATACAACAACTCAGTTAAAGTTGAGAAATAACAACCTGAAAATTCTTAATGTTCAGATGTTGAAGAATATTTCAAATAAACAGTTGACTTATCTGGATGTATCTAAAAACAAAATTAAAAAAATAGACAGTGATTTTATTGGAGTTTTCAAACGTTTACAAACTTTAGATTTAAGTGTCAACCCGTTAACCAATGAACCGTTGAAGGCATCTTTGAAGAATATATCAACCTCTTTACAGAAGTTGTTTATAAGTGGACTGAAACTGTCTCATTTCGACGATGACTTGCTGAAACCATTGAACGGATCTATGTTAAAAACTTTAGGACTTAGCAATAACAGGTTTCATGTTTTCAATGGTGGTCAAATTTTTATTTATTTAAAGCATTTAACAACATTATACCTGTCATATAACCATATCAATTATTTCAATGCATCACGCTCATACAGCTTAAAACAATTATCTTTATCACGTAACGATTTAACGGAAGTTCCGCCATTTTGTTCTAGAGCTGAGGCCTTGTTTCCAAATCTTGAGGAACTGTCTATTGACCAAAACTGTATAAGTGTATTGAATATGAGCAATCTGAATTGTCTAGATGATCTCATACTACTAAATATATCAGAAACACGAATAGAAACATTGAAACGGAACACGTTTAGTAAACTCAAACATTTGATAGCACTGTCGGTACAACATATGGAGAGCTTCAGTTATATCGAATCGTATGCTTTCAATAGCTCCTCACTCCAGAGAATTAACATACGCGATAACGAACTTCAATTTAAAGCATCAGAAATGAACATATCGTTAGTCTTCAGTGGATGCCCAAACCTCAAAGTCTTAGATATATCTAATAATTTCTTAGGGGAACCAAACAACGAGGAATGGGTTCGGCTCTTTACTAAAGTATCCAAATTAACATACCTGGATATAAGCCGTGGATATCTTCTATATTTACCAAAGGCAATACCTGATGTATTACACAACCTTAAAGAGCTTCGTGTTTCTTTAAACGGTATAGACATTATACCCCCAGGTTACTTTAACACACTTTATAACATCACTGATATTTACTTTAATGGTAACAAATTAACTACATTGAATCATACCCAACTTCCTTCTACAAAGCTGCATCATCTGAATCTGGCTTTTAATCCATTTGTGTGTGACTGTAATATTTTGTGGCTGGTAAACTATCTAAAACGTCATAAGGAAATATTATCTTATTATCCAAGTGAATATAGATGTACAGACGACACGATGTATTTAGCCGATCTAAAGATTGAGATGAGATCCTGCCTTATTGGTGAACAGACCAGCACCATTATTAAATGTTCTAGTTTTTCTGTTATGTTGATATTATTAATAATATCTGGTGTTTACAGATATAGATGGCGTCTAAGATACGTTATGTATATTCTGAACTACAAAAGAAGAAAATATATGAACGGTAGCATGGAAAGCTCTAACTTTTCTCATGATGTATATATCAGTTGTGGTGAGGCCGATTTTAACTTTGTATATTCAAATATTGTTGAGAAATTGGAAGAAAGCAACTTCAATGTCTACATATCTGAAAGAGATGCTGTGGGTGGAAGTTTGAAAATAACAAGTACGCTAGAAAATATGGATGGAAGTAGATTCGTGTTGCTCTGTTTGTCCAATTCCTATGTACAGGATCATTGGTGTGAGTACGAAACTTACATGGCTATAGAAAGGTCAATCTATGAAGGTCATGATGTATTGATTGTTGTACTTTTAGAAGATATTTCTAGTGTTAATATGAACAAAACCATCCATAAACTAGTTAAGAACAATGACTTTATTTTGTGGGAAGCCAATGAAGAAGCCCACCGCTTATCTTTGAGGCGATTAGTCAGGCTTATCGGAGATGAAAATACAAATACCCGTAGCCCGTCTACCTGACATTTGTATTTTATAGTATTTGTTGGAAATAAACTCCCTTCAGCTGTGAAGAGTGACTGGTTAATTACGCCTATTGGCGTAGTAATACAAGCATGCACTATAATATAAATGTAGTCCAAAATAAAGCATGTGAGATGCACTACAGAGTTCGTACCATCAACATCGTTTTTGTTCTTTTTTTCTCCCATCTAACTCGAAGCCATGAGTCTGCTATTTATGGGCCCAGCCTGAGAATCCATTTCGGGATTTCTCATACATCGTTCGCAACAGTATTTGACTACATTCTTGATAAGAATCTGTTTTGAATTCAGGTGGTGTTAGTGTTACTGTGAAGTAGACATGGCCTAATATAAGACATGTTAAGTAAGGTGGCTATTCTGTTAATTCGTGTGGTAGTGTCGCCCGATGTGCATAAAGAATTTCAAACCAGTCGCCCAAACTCATCGATTTGTCTACTTGCTTGGCGTAGGCGAGCCAATCAACTATCGTGCACGGCAGCACGTTCATGCTTCGACTATAAAACTGGACCCGTATCATTCATCGGTGGAGTTTCGAATTCAGATGGTGTTAGTCTTATTGCGAATCTGTTTGCTATGATTTGTTTTGCATATTTCATTGTTGTCCAAGCGGGAGGAGCAGATGACGGGTGTCCACTTTTCTAAAGTTATCATATTTGGATTACTAACTTATAATGTCATTGCCCGATTTTAATCTACAAGGTATATATACTCAGCCAAATTAAAAACTTGACACTCGGGATTTTTGGGACTAGATTTTTAATATTTGGTTTAAGGCAACTATTTTAGTGTTATGTTGTGCACAGACGACGTTGACATCAACAGAAAGCAAGAATACGTCTCGCCGAAAGTCCTTGACATTGATAACGTTCGTGATGTCACAGTACCCCCCAAAATGAAATTCACAGACTTGGAGAACAATCGGAATAAAGTGTTTAGTAACGGTTGTGGCCTCCTCTAGCGTCTCGTACTGCCACACGTCTTCTCATGGATCTCAGAACATTAGTAAACACTACCCGAGGAAGACGTCGCCACTGCTCAGCAAGAGCATGTTGAAGGTCCTGCAACGTCAGTGGTGGATTCACTTGCTGACGAACACGTCGACCCAGTTCGTCCCAGATGTGTTCAATAGGAATAAGGTCGGGGCTAAGCGACGGCCAATCCAGGACTTGGACACCGGCATTTCTTAAAAAATTCTGGGTAGCAATTGCTGTATGGGGTCGAGCATTGTCTTGTTGAAACGTTAGTCCAGGCCCATGTCTCTGCATAAACGGAAAAAGAACAGGTTGCAAAATCTGATCCCTGTACTAGACAGCATATAAGTTCCCTTGGACAACAACAAGAGGAGAACGCCCGTGTGCATAAAAAGAACCCCAAACCATGACGCTGCCGCCACCAAATCGGTCAACTTCTCTGACGCATACCTGAGCGTAACGTTCACCTCGTCTGCGGTACACTGTTAGAAAAAATCTGGTAAATTTACATGAAAATTACTGGCAGCAAAAGTTGCCAGTAAATTTACTGTAAATAAACATTCAGCTGTAATATTACAGAGTTTCTGTAATTTGACTTTGTGAGTAAATTTACCTTAAAACAGTAAATGGAAAATAACATGAGTTTGTTTTTTAACTTTGAACTGTAAATTCACCGCAACACAGTAAATGAACGGTTACAGTAAGTTTGTTTTTAGACTTCCCAATGTAAATTTACCTAAAAGCAGTAAATGAAAAATTACAGACAAATGTTAAAATAAAACACAATGATTTTAACTTCCGTTCCAGGATTTTAGATGTAAGCTTGTGGTACTGTCTACTGCAGGCATTGTAACTCTCCTCTAGAGACAGTCAAGCTAACACTGGCCAATCGGTTTAATTAACCGTCTTCAATTGACCTTGGTTACGAGATATGACAATCTATGACAAGTAAGCAAAACATTTTTTTATACGTTAATGAACATACTTACAATCTGATCAACGTACGATGAATAATAATACACGTTTTAGATCGTATAAATAAAGAAAATTAAATATATATAACATGCAATATACCAAATTGCACAAAATGTGATTGTCCATATTATGGTTAATAAATTAGAATGAATACTATAAGACAATAATTATTAGGAATGGTTCGTTGCTATGGAATACTAAAATAAAATAAGAGACAGTAAATTTACATAAGAGACAGTAAATTTACCAATAAGTAAATTTACAAAATAATGTGAATAAACGTAAATCTGTAAAATTACCTACTGGCTTTGCTATTTTCATTTCAATATTGAAATATTACGCATGTATTTTTACCGGGGTTTAATGTGCCTTTGGTTTCATCAAAGTTTATTGTAAAAAAGAATGAAACTTGGTAAATATACATCATTTTGGTAAACATTCCGAACATTTTTGGTAAAAATTTAATTGCTGTAAATTTACTTATATTTCTAACCTGAAAGTTTACAAAATAATGTGAGTAAACGTAAAATCTCTAAAATTGCATGCTAAGAGACAATAAATTTACCGAATACGATAACTACCAATAAGTTAAACATACATTATGCAAGAGCTAAATCTGCCTATTGCAGGTCTTTCTTTAGGCCTGATATGTTCTATAAACTATGAATTAGACATTTATTAACATGAAAAGACCATAATCAACTCATGGATGCCATCTTATGTGTTGGATTTTCACTGGATTTGAGTCCGATCTGGGGCTCAACGCTCATTAATGATTAAATTCAAAAATAGATAATCAAGACTATGTTTTTTTTATCGTACTGACTTAATAAGTAATGATGATCGAGGCTAGGCCTAACATCCAGTCTCTAATATCTCGGTTCCGAGAGGATCAATTTGACAGAAATTTTCAGCATATTCCCATTACATTATCTAGTTTTTAACTATTATAGTGAGAACTGCTGTAATTTTATTTATATTTCTAACCTAAAAGTAAATTTACAAAATAATGTGAATAAACGTAAGATCTGTAAAATTACATGCATGCTTGTTTATTTTGAGTTCAGTTTGGAAATATTACATATGTAAGAATGTATTTTTATACGTCCACATTCATAATGTGAACGTATTATGCCGTCGCCCCTGTCTGTGTGTGTGTGTGTGTGTATGTATGTATGTGTGTGTGTGTGTGTGTGTGTGTGTCTGTGGTTCGCCTACAGGGCGCAATTCTTCATGGATTTTCTTCAAACTTGGTATACTTATTCCTTATACCCCAAGGAAGATCCCTATTGTTTTTGGTGCATGCCCGACCCCCCGGGGCAGAGCCACGCCCATTTCTAGTATTTGTTTGTTTGTCGTCTACAGGCCACATTTCTTAACTAATAATCTTGAAACTTTGCATACACATTCTTTGTACCCTAAGGAACATCCCTATCGTTTGGGGTGCATGCCCAACCCCCAGGGGCAGAGCCACGCCCATTTTCTTTTCGTGTGTTTTTGTGTCGCCTACAGGGCGCAATTCTTACTGGATTTTCTTCAAACTTGGTATACTTATTCCTTATACCCCAAGGAAGATCCCTATTGTTTTTGGTGCATGCCCGACCCCCAGGGGCAGAGCCACGCCCATTTCTAGTATTTGTTTGTTTGTCGTCTACAGGCCACATTTCTTAACTTATAATCTTGCATACACATTCTTTGTACCCTAAGGAACATCCCTATCGTTTGGGGTACATGCCCAACCCCCAGGGGCAGAGCCACGCCCATTTTCTTTTTGTGTGTCTGTGTGTCGCCTACAGGCCACAATTCTTAAGTTATCATCTTGAATCTTTACATACTTATTCCTTATACCCTAAGGATGATCCCTATTGTTTTTGGTGCATGCCCGATCCCCAGGGGCAGAGCCACGCCCATTTCTTGTATTTGTTTGTTTGTCGTCTACAGGCCGCATTTCTTAACGCATCATATTGAAACTTTGCATACTTATTCTTTGTACCCTAAGGAACACCCCTATCGTTTGGGGTGCATGCCCAACCCCCAGGGGCAGAGCCAAGCCCATTTTCTTTTTGTGTGTCTGTCGCCTACAGGCCACAATTCTTAATCGATCGTCTTGAAAAAATTTCATATGAATTCCTTATACCCTAAGGATGATCCTATTGTTTTTGGTGCATGCCCGACCCCCAGTGGCAGAGCCACGCCCATTTCTTGTATTCATTGTTTGTTATCTACAGACCACATTTCATAACGTATCACCTTGAAACTTTGCATGCATACTCCTTCTATCCTAAGGAACATCCCTATTGTTTGTGGTGAATGCCCAGGGACAGAGCCACACCCATTTTCTTTTTGTGTGTCTGTATGTCACTTACAGCCTGCAATGCTTAATCGATCATCTTGAAAACTTTTTTATACTTATACGTTATACCCTAAGGCTGACCTCTATTTTTTTGGTGATTGCCCAACCCCCAGGGGCAGAGCCACACCCATTTTTTCTTTGTGTCTCTGTGAGTTGCCTACAGGCCACGATTCTTAATGGATTTCTTTGAACTTGGGATATGTTTTCCTTATAGCCTAAGGACGACAACTGCATGTCACGACCCCCAGGGGCAGAGCCATGCCCAATTTTTATGTTTATCGTTTACAGGCCCAAATTCTGGATGGATCAACTTGGTATTTGGCATATGTATTCCTTATAGCCTAAGGGCATCAACTATTGATTTTGGTGAATGCCCCAATGCCCAGGGGCAGAGCAACGCCCAATTTTCCCTTTAACGCCCAAAGGCCACAATTCTGAATGGATTATCTTGGAACTTGGAGTACTTATTCCTTATACCCTAAGGACGGCAACTATTTATATTGTTTCCATATCCAACCCCCATGGGCAGAGCCATGCCCAATTTTTGTATTTATCGTCTACAGGCTGCAATTCTGAATGGATCATCTTGGAACTTTGCATATTTATTCCTTATACCATAAAGACAGCAACTATTTATTTTGATACTTGCCCCGACCTCTTGGGGCAGTGTCACACCCACTTTATTGTTAGTATTTTGTCTGTAAATTTGGGGTGGCTGGGTGGTTAAGACGCTGGCTCGCTAGCCTGGAGGTCGGGTGTTCGATCCCTGCATTGGCCGAGAAAGTTCATCTGGATTTTCCGACGTGGTTTCCCCTTGTCAGTGGTGCAGAACGGAGGGCCTGACAAGGACAGCTGTCCAGTCCTTCGGATGAGACGAAAAACCGAGGTCCCGTGTATACATTAGAATGCACGTAAAAGATCCCTTGGCAGTTGGAATTCGATATAAGAGTAGGCGATAGTGCCGCTGCCCGGGCAAAATTTCCCTCATAGCACACTGTATGGCGTATGCCCGTCTTCATTAGCCCAGTATAGGAGCAGAACAGTAGGACGTTAAACCCCATTTCATTTCATTTCTGTAAATTTGGCAAAACAAACCAGACGCCTAGCCTTCTTTGCCTCTGATCATATTACAGCCATTTCATATTTCATTCTCTTCATTTTAAAAAGTACCATATCAATCAAAGCTGGAATGTGGACGTATATTGCAGCGTTAGCGATGCTCTTGTTACTGATTTTGAATGTGTCTTTGATTTCATCACCGTGTATTGTAAAAAAAGACACGAAACTCTGTAAACATACACGAAACTCCGTTAAAATACGCCAGACTTGGTAGAACTACTACATTGTGGTGAACATACCGATAATTAATGTACAAAAACTGCTTGTACTACTGTAATTTTACAAAAATTTCTAACAGTGTACACTCGGACCCTGCCATTGGCAAATCTCAAAGTGAATCGAGATTCGTCACTAAAGACAACCAAATTCCACTGTCTTTGAGTAAATCTTATGTGTCTTGTGGCCCACACAAGTCGGTTAGGTGATGAAGAGGTGTCAATATTGATCCATTATAGGGCCTCCGAACTCGAGGACCAGCAGCCTGCAAGCGATTTCGAACAGTTTGTGCAGTTACCCTTCCACCAAACATCTCTCTACTTGTGGAGGTTGCAGTGACAAATCTGTTTCTAAGATGACGTAATCGTATTGCGTCACACGTGGCGCTCCCGCCCTTGGGCGGTCGGCAATAGTTTCAGTTTGAAGCACTCTCATTCTAAGATTACTTATTGTCTGGCGTGAACAAAAAGGCTCTTGCAACAGTGACCACAGACTGACCAGCATAGAGCCTACCTATAGCACGTAGACGTTCTACATTTGAAAGGCGCGGCATTTTCTAACAAAGATGAAAATAACAATTTTAATTTGTTTTTCCAATTCAAGTTACGTGTGCGTGTTCAGTTTAAGCAAACTTGCATCGATTGACCCCACGAGTTTGTGTTTGCACGTGTTTTTCAGGTTTTTCATCTTTATATGCTCAAAAGTCACGTGATCCACGTGACTTTACAATTTTATGAAATTAAAGGCTTCTTTATACTTTAATTGTTCACGCCAGGCAATAATTAATCTTAGAATGCTTCAAACTGGAACTATTGCCGACCGCCCAAGGGCGGGAGCGCCACGTGTGACGTCACTCCAGGAAGATCAAGCAATACGATTACGGCATCTTAGAAACAGATTTGTCACTGCAACCTCCACAAGTAGAGAGATGTTTGGTGGAAGAGTAACTGCACAAACTGTTCGAAATCGCTTGCAGACTGCTGGTCTTCGAGCTCGGAGGCCCTATAATGGACCAATATTGACACCTCTTCATCGCCGTAACCGACTTGTGTTGGCCACAAGACACACATAAGATTTAATCAAAGACAGTGGAATTCGGTTGTCTTTAGTGACGAATCTCGATTCACTTTGAGATTTGCCCATGGCAGGGTCCGAGTGTACCGCAGACGAGGTGAACGTTACGCTCAAATATGCGTCAGAGAAGTTGACCGATTTGGTGGCGGCAGCGTTATGGTTTGGGGTTCATTTTGTGCACATGGACGTTCTCCTCTTGCTGTTGTCCAAGGGAACTTAAATGCTGTCCAGTACAGGGATCAGATTTTGCAACCTGTTCTTCTTCCGTTTATGCAGAGACATGGGCCTGGACTAACGTTTCAACAAGACAATGCTCGACCCCATACAGCAATTGCTACCCAGAATTTTTTAAGAAATGCCGGTGTCCAAGTCCTGGATTGGCCGTCGCTTAGCCCCGACCTTAATCCTATTGAACACATCTTGGACGAACTGGGTCGACGTGTTCGTCAGCAAGTGAATCCACCAGTGACGTTGCAGGACCTTCAACATGATCTTGCTGAGCAGGACAGAACCGTTACTAAACACTTTATTCCGATTGTTCTCCAAGTCTGTGAATTTCATTTTGGGGGGTACTGTGACATCACGAACGTTATCAATGTCAAGGACTTTCGGCGAGACGTATTCTTGCTTTCTGTTGATGTCAACGTCGTCTGTGCACAACATAACACTAAAATAGTTGCCTTAAACCAAATATTAAAAATCTAGTCCCAAAAATCCCGAGTGTCAAGTTTTTAATTTGGCTGAGTATATAATACTAATATTAATAGTGTGAGTCATGATCTGCATATGTGCTACATGAAATATAAATGTTGGCACATTACTAGTTATCATCGAAATTAAAACGTCAACTTACCAAATTTAACCTATAGAGTTTCAGGTCATACACGATCAGGGCTACTTTTGTTAAAACTTTTTTCCACGCTAAAAATATCAAATTCAATAAAATTTTGTAAGTTACGGTTATTTTGAGTTACTTTGGTTTCAACTGATTTTACACCGTCAAAACACATAAAATAATAATGAGGATTTCGAACAAGCAAACATATTTTAATATTCGGGAGTACATACGTTTGAGCTGAATGTGAAGGATTTGGTCTGTAGATCAGAGTTATAATGTCGATTCGTAAAGAAACGGGTTTTATTACGAGGAAACTATGTAGGCCTGAACACGGAGTACAACACAATTATGTTTTATTGTGTATGTATTTCATGCTATCATAAAGTAGATAAGTAAAATTTGGTGTATTTATTTAAAATATTGCTACAACGATATTGATAGATTTATAGACATTATACCCAACACAGGTAAATATACTATTCAAAAAAAGTAGGGGATATTTGATTTTTAAGTGTTACTAAAGTCACCTAATGAAACTGACGAAGAAACAAATGACAAAATGAAATGAAGTTCACATTCATCGATTTATTCCAAATGATCGTTAGACTAAGTAAGGCACAGACTGACCATTATAAGGGTAAAATGATACCCGGGGTCAAACAGCAAAGTTACCACAGCATCACAACCAAGTCAGTAACGGGTAAATCCTCCTCTGTTTGCCAAACAAGCATTGATCCGACGTGGCATACTCCTAATGAGACGTCTAAGGTCATTTTGGTCCAGATTGTCCCATTCCTGTTGCAACGCAGCAGCAAGTTCTTGGACATTGGCAGGACGTTGTTGACGTTGACGTAACCTCTGTCCAAGCATGTCCCAGACATGCTCGATGGGGGAGAGGTCGGGACTCAGTGCTGGCCAAAGTAATGTGGTGATGTTCTGTTGTTGGAGGTAACCTGTAACGATCCTGGCCCTGTGACATCTTGCGTTGTCATCCTGGAAGATGAAACGGCGGCCATGACGTCGTGCGAACGGCACAACATGGACTGCCAAGATGTTGTCCCGGTAGTACTGGCCTGTAACACGCCCTGCAACAACATGTAAAGCCGTTCTTCCAGCAACAGTGATGCCTCCCCACACCATAACAGAACCACCCCCAAATCGATCATGTCTGATGACGTTAACGTCTTGGAAGCGCTCGTTTCGACGACGCCACACCCTCCTACGTCTGTCCAAAAAATCAACAGTGAACCTTGACTCATCTGAAAACATCACATTGCTCCAGCGTCGATTATCCCAGTATTGACGATCCCTACACCAACGACGTCTTGCCTGACGTCATTTTGGGTAAGCCGACGCATATCAAAATTTGTTTTCTGGTCACTAAAACAATTAAACTGATGTTTCCACCCTGGAATTCAATGCCACAATGACTGTAACATTCAAAGTCAGAGTCGTGCAAATCTTGGGTTGGACCCCCATGATGATCCCAAGCATCACCTGCATTCCATGCGGTAGCTATTGGTGCGTTTGGGCGTCACATGTAACTGGAAATGTTTCTTCTGTTAGGTTTTATAGTGACTATTTTCATAGTCGTTTGCATATTTTAGTATTATGCCCCCAAAATCAAATATCCCCTACTTTTTTTGAATAGTATAATACAAAATTTAAAGGCTTTAATCATTGAAAATTAATTTTAATCTTCGTGATTATAAATAAAGGGTATCAGGATTTGGATTCTATGTTATCATCTACAAACAATAAATGCACCAACCCTCTCAACAAGGAAAGTTTGATTTTCATGACTCTATATTCTAAATTGAGAACTTCCTTAACATAATGCAAATATTATGTTATTTACCTCTTTGTTCGACGACTCGGTCAGTGATTGAAAGTAGTTCATAGAAAGGCAAAAAAACCTTTATAATACCCGCAGATCTACATATGACCCAGACTCGCCCACTTAATATAGCTAATCATAATACCAAATACTTCCCTGAATCAAATGACACTGACTCACTATGTGGCGAGATAAAAACAGTTATGATACACCACACGGATTATAGTGTTCATAATGGAACTAACATCAGTGTTTGTTTGTTGCATCTTAGTGATAGTTATATGCCATGGAAGTAAAGAAAAAAGACCTTGTGTCAAGGATTCCAGTTCAAAAACTATATGTTGGTGTTTAGGTAATGGTTATACAGATTGTTCGGGTCATGGGTTAAATTACATACCCGTTCTACCAAATACAACAACTCGGTTAAAGTTGAGAAATAACAACCTGAAAATTCTTAATGTTCAGATGTTGAAGAATATTTCAAATAACCAGTTAACTGATCTGGATGTCTCCAAAAACAAGATTGAAAAAATAGACAGTGATTTCATTGGATTTTTCAAACGTTTACAAATTTTAAATTTAAATGTCAATCCGTTAACCAATGAACCGTTGAAGGCGTCTTTAAAGAATATATCAACCTCTTTACAGAAGTTGTTTATAGGTGGACTGAACCTGTCTCATTTCGACGATGACTTGCTGAAACCATTGAACGGATCTATGTTAACAACTTTAGGACTTAGCAATAACAGTTTTCATGTTTTCAACGGTGGTCACATATTTAACTATTTAAAGCATTTAACATCATTATACCTGTCATATAACTATATTAATAATTTCAATGCATCACACTCGTACAGCTTAAAGCAATTATCTTTAACGCGTAACGATTTAACGGAAGTTCCGCCATTTTGTTCTAGAGCTGAGGCCTTGTTTCCAAATCTTGAAGAACTGTATATTGACCAAAACTGTATAAGTGTATTGAATATGAACAATCTGAATTGTCTGGATAATCTGATAAAACTAAATATATCAGAAACACGAATAGAAACATTGAAAAGTTACACGTTTAGTAAACTCAAACGTCTGATAGCTCTGTCAGCACATTATATGGAGGGCTTTAATTATATTGAACCGTACGCTTTCAATAGCTCCTCACTCCAGAGAATTAACATCCGTGATAACAATCTTCAATTTAAAGTATCAAAAATGAACATATCGTTGGTCTTCAGTGGATGCCCAAACCTCAAAGTCTTAGATATCTCGAATAATTTCTTAGGGAAATTAAGAAACGCCGAATGGGATGTACTCTTTGCTAAATTTTCCAAATTAACATACCTGGATATAAGCCGTGGATATCTTCTATATTTACCAAACGCAATACCTGATGTGTTACACAACCTTAAAGAGCTTCGTGTTTCTGATAATGGTATAGACATTATACCCCCAGGCTATTTTAACACACTTTATAACATCACTGATATTTACCTTAATGGTAACAAATTAACTACATTGAATCATACCCAACTTCCCACTACAAAGCTGCATCATCTGAATCTGGCTTACAACCCATTTGTGTGTGACTGTAATATTTTGTGGCTTATAGACTATTTAAGACATCACAAGAGAATAGTTTCATATTATCCAGACCATTATATTTGTACTGATAACAAGTTGCGTTTAGAAGACCTGAAGATTAACACGGGATCGTGCCTTATTGGTGAACAGACCAGCACCATTATTAAATGTTTTTGTTTTTCTGTTATGTTGATATTATTAATAATATCTGGTGTTTACAGATATAGATGGCGTCTAAGATACGTTATGTATATTCTGAACTACAAAAGAAGAAAATATATGAACGGCAGCATGAAAAGCTCTAACTTTTCTCATGATGTATATATCAGTTGTGGTGAGGCCGATTTTAACTTTGTATATTCAAATATTGTTGAGACATTGGAAGAAGATAACTTCAATGTCTACATATCTGAAAGAGATGCTGTGGGTGGAAGTTTAAAAATAACAAGTACGCTAGATAATATGGATGGAAGTAGATTTGTGTTGCTCTGTTTATCTAATTCATATGTACAGGATCATTGGTGTGAGTACGAAACTTACATGGCTATAGAAAGGTCAATCTATGAAGGTCATGATGTATTGATTGTTGTACTTTTAGAAGATATTTCTAGTGTTAATATGAACAAAACCATTCATAAACTGGTTAAGAACTATAACTTTATTTTGTGGGGTACCAATGATGAGGCTCAGGGCCTTTCCCTGAGAAAGCTAGTAAGAGTTATTGGAAATGAAAATATGTAATCTTCTGGTGATATTCCCCGCGTAGGCCTACGTAACAGGTAAATGTAGTGGCATTGAAGGTAAATCACTAGAACAATCCCTGTACATGATTACATTCAACTGGACTTCTTACTGTAAATTTATATGTCTAACCAAAAAGGTTTTAGGTCTCGAATGTTCTATAATTTACAAACTTTCATATACATTGGTGAATGTTGCATTTTGTCATTATATTTTTAGACAATTTTATTAATATTGGAATTAACTTTGTTTATTAACATTCCAAATGTCTAATTTGTGTTGATTTGGCAATATTAATTTAATTTTTCCTATCATTTATATTAAATTAATAAATATTAATTCAAAATAACAAATTAATTGTTATATTACGGTTTAAACCAGGGCCGTATGTAGGATTCTAAATGTGGGGGTGCAGCGGCAAATAATACCTAAGCAAAACATCTCATTGCAGAGGCGTGCTGGGCAGGAAGCCAATCGCATACCCTGCCCTCATCAATTCAAAAACAAAAGAAACTGGAAATGGTTGATAAAACTCGAATCCTTTGAGATTTCCTACCAGGACATAGGGGACAGGGCGGGGTGGCTATATGCCCTCCCTTCTGAAAAAGAGCCCTAGAATTTCGACAGAGTTACCAATGAGCTAAATCGCTAATATTTGGGACCTAGATATTGAAATTCAATAATAATGTAATATGAATGTATATAAACTGATTGTGCTCAATCATGTCCGTTTTTACTGTTAGTTATGTTCGTCGAAATACGCGAGAAGTCTCAATCGAATGGCAATCTCTGGTGTCTGGTTGTTCCAGTCTGCACCGATAGTATTTTTTACGCAAGCTCTCCAGATAAGAAAATGGCATCTCCTCTTGCACTTAATCATCTTGCACTTGTTCTATAACGTCTCGTCCCGTCACTCGTTGTCTTTTGTGCATATACATGTACATGTATATGAAATTTAATCATTTATTTAATCCTTTTTTCGCTAATCACATTGTAAATAATCTCACTATGTATATATAATATGTTATTGTCTGTGATATCACCTCGGTGGAAGCGGACGTAAAATACAACTAACTCACACACACAGATAAGAAAATGGCATCACCGTTTGACATGATTTGTGGAATATATCTAGCCTTGTGCTTCGTGGCCCTTGTTGCAAATGGCACTGAAACGCATTATGGTATATGATTCATGTACCAATGGTAAAATGTTTATTTTGTCTTAAATATTGGATATCAGAAGCCCATCTTTTCCCAGTAAGATCACAAAAACAATGTTGATTGAAATTGACAAATAATTTGTGTTTTCAATGTCGAAGACTTTGGATGATATTGAGTTAGGGACTTAGCTACTTTAAGTATTCAAGGGAATGCCCACCCTAATGAAAACATTGTACCCGCTTTTTCTGCTGTCCTTCCGTTGTTCCAACCAAATCCAGAGATACTAAAAAACAATCACACTCATGCAATGTACCCACAGAATATTTCCATTTTTCCTGATGATGTAAGGACCCCATACAAGCTCAATCAGACCCTGATTTCCAAGGATGACTTTCAGAATAGATTTCACAGGCGGATAAATATTTCCATAATATTCAGAGTCAATTAATATGTTTTAGTTTTATTTATCTATCTAAATGGATTTAGGTAAATTCCAACACTTGCGACGAGAACGTTTTTGTCGGTTAGCATACTCAATGCCAATACGCTAACCGTCACCACGATCTCGATTGACATTTAATCTGTCACAAGTAACGTCCTTGGCCTGGCTTAAAGTGTATTGTTCTTTGGGTTGTCAGTCTACTTTCAATTCTACCCCAACCCCTCCCCTCATTAGGGAACAGAATCGAATGATTCGTGATATGGGGGGATTTGTGGCATGATTTGTGGGGTGCCTCATCCCGGAGAGTGCCCATAATATAATTGGCGGGGCGCCCACAATGCTAGTGAAATTGGTTAGGCGCCCACGAATGAATTGGGTGCCCAAAACGGCATGATAATTTTCAATATTCAAACAAGTCGCACTCTAACCCGATTCCGAACTTTTCATTTTTCTCATAAATTATTATAGGTACGTTAAAGTCGTATTCCTTCTTTCAAATTTTTATAATGTTCATATCAAAATGTAATAATACGCCAATATTGCAAATTCAGCCTCAAAATTGAAATTTTTCCGTCATAGGTGCAAACCCTATTTTTCAAAATTTCTGGTAAGACAGCACCATACCATAGACAATCTGACTTTTCGGGAAGACGGGTAAAGTGAAAACAAAAAATATCATTTCATCTAGTTGGCAAAATAAAGTGCCCGAAATCTAATAAAACACTAATTTTACTAATTGAATACAGCATATTTGTACTGAGTTGACTATGGATTAAAACATTTTGTCTGGAGCCACTCTACTTTGTGCCACATTTTTCGGGCATCGATTATTATTTGTGAATGAAGCTGCAACAGTCCGATTGGATGGTTGGAATTCAAGTCGGCATAGAGTGGGATTTCGGATACAAAACCATTGGAAACTTTGAAGTTGCTTAAAGGCCCAATACCACTCTTGTTGTAACTGAATAATATGTCCCAATCTTTATTCTGGTCAACAAATTGTACTATTTTAGAATATTTCAATTAATTGATGATACAAATTTCATCTTAACACACCTTATTTAAATATTTTGAAAAATTCAACATAATGGTTTGAAACGTCTAACGTAAACCTTTTCAAATGAAACTTCGATTTAAAAATATTTTCGAACACTCTGGACAAGTAAAATAGGATATAATGGATAATTTACACAACAGGTAGGACACTTAAACATCTAGTACTTAGACAGAGATATTATTTATTTTCTGGAGCTTTCAAGCCAGCAAGAGTGTTATTGTCCCTTTAACTCATGGGTTAATATTGTAGAATATCGACAGGAACCAAGATCTTTGGGAGAGAGAGAGAGAGAGAAATGGGGTTTAACGTCCACTCGACACAAACTAGGTCATTTCGGGACTAACATATGGTTTAATTTTATTTCAATAATTCGCTTGTGCGTAGGGGTCTTTAGCAGTGGGAGGAAACCGGAGGACCCGGAGAAAACCCACGAGGTTGGACAGGCGACCCTACTCCTTGTCACGTACAACCGGGGATTCGAAACCACGCCAGTTGACTCAATGACAGACTTAATGATACAGGTTATAAAGATATATTTTAAGTTTCATCAAAATCAGATGAAAACTGTGACTTCTAAGAGGGTCCACAACCTTTGCGTACTAGGGGCGGCCATTTTGTCCGGCATTTTGGGTCCGATTTTCACGAAATTCTCACTCCGCCGTCACTAGGGTGTAACGGTGATATATTCAAACAATTTTTGTTAAATCGGATAATAATTGTGACCTCTAGAGGGACCACAAGCTAAAAACGCGTTTTTTCGTACAATCAGGGGCTATAATTCAGGACGTTATGATTCGATATGTACGAAAATAGAAAGGAACCAAGATATTTGGGGTATAAACATGCATTTCAAGTTTCATCAAAATCAGATGAATATTGTGACCTCCAGGGGCTCCACAACCCTGATACACAATATTGTGATACTATTTGCGAACGAGGGGCGGCCATTTTGTCCGTCAGTTTCGGTCCGATTTTTACGAAATTCGAACTCAACCATCCTTAGGGTGTGACGGTGATATATTCAAATGTTTTTTAAATCGGATAAAAATTGTGACCTCCATGGGGTCCACAATCTAAAAACGCGATTTTTCGGACAATCAGGGGCCATAATTCAGGAAGTTAGGGTCTGATATGCGCGAATATCGAAAGGAACCGAGATCGGTGGGTTATAATCATGCATTTCAAGTTTCATCAAAATCAGATGAAAATGTGGGCGTATAAAAATTGGGTGTGGCTCCGTCCCTGGGTGTTTTGACATGCACAAAAATCTATAGTTGCGATAAGAAATAGGCTATAAGGAATATAGTTCCGAGATGTTCCATTAAGAATTGTGGACTGTACGCAACACACAGACACAAAGAAAAAATGGGTGTGGTTCTGCCCTTGGGGTCGGGCATTCACCAAAAACAATAGGGATCATCCTTTGGGTATAAAGAATAGGTATGCAAAGTTTTAAACGGATCTATCAAGAATTGCTGCCTGTAGGCGATACACAGGGGTCATGCATAAACCAAAATATGAGGTCATCCTTAGGGTATAAGGAATAAGTGTGAAAAGTTTACTAAACGAACCATTAAGAATTGGGGCATGTAGCCGACACACAAAGAGAAAATGGGCGTGGCTCTGCCTCTGGGGGTTGGGCATGCACCACAAACAATAGGGATGATCCTTTGGGAAATGCTGCCTGTGGGCGACCCACATACACACACACACAGGGGTGACCGCAATCTACGCCCATATGAATGTGGACCTATAAAAATGGGCATTTTCCAGTCAAAACTGGATTTTTGGCAATTTGACTCATTTCGGCACGGATTATTGTTGATAATATACGTTTAGACCGACCATAAACCGTAATCAGCATTTCTATTGCAGCAACTGTCCGGAATGTTGCGAAATTGAGTTAAAATGCCTGGACTATAATAATGTGTTCCATATAATAGTTTTATGTTTATTTGTCAATATATGTGTTGGGGCTCTGGTAGTCGACATCCTTGACTAGAATGTATCGAGTTTGAATCTTGACGTGGGCCTGAGATAATCTTTCAAGCACGGTCTTCACTGATTTAGAAAGTATTGTGGGGAGTCTTGGTGCCCCAGAAAGATTAGTCGAGTTCGAATCTTGCTGTGGGCCAGAGATAATCTTTCAAGCACGGTCTTCGCTGATATAGAAGATTAGTCACACTCTGTATAAGGCACAAGGAGACATAGTTACAGGAGACAAATGTTTGAATGAATTAGCAAACTTTAATAGTAGTAATAATATTATGAGTGCATTCAGTGCAACATTCATATGGTCACAATAGCATGGAAGCAATATTTTGTTTATTTCCTCATCACAAAAACAATTAATATATTAATATATATAAGACTCGGGTGTTACCATACACAAATATTGCACATAATTTAAAACAATGTTTAATTCTGAAATGCACGAACAAATAACAAGAAATGTATCTAAATCATTTTTGATACAGTATAGTTATTTATATTTTTGTATATTCTAGTTGAGGAGTACCTTCTCTATTTATTTTCAAAACCACCTTTAGACGGTAGCTTGGTTTTTGTGGCACCTGACATTTTTCCAGTTAGTAAATGTCTATCATTGTTTTTTCCTCATTCCAACTTCCTGAGGCCTAAATCACTTATTGAAGTTGGGTTACAGGCAATGGGTTTCTATGTCGTACATCAACATGTATTCCCGTTTCCACACTATTTCAAGTGTCTTCTTTCTAAATTAATTTTGTCTGGTTGTCTTAAACAATTATAATGTAGCAAAATTTCATATTTTCTAAGGAAACTTTAAAGGGATAATAACACTCTTGCTGGCTTGACAGAAAATAAAAAATAGCCTTATTCTAAGTACTAGATGTGTTAGTGTCCTACCTGTTGTGTAAATTATCCTTTAAATCCTATTTTACTTGTCCAGAGGGTTCAAAAATATTTTTAAATCCAAGTCACATTTGAAAAGCTTTACGTTAGGCTTTTCAAATCATTTAGTTGAATTTTTCCAAGTTCTTAAATTTGTATCATCAATTAATTGGAATATTGTAAAATAGTACAATTTGTTGACCAGAATAAAGATTGGGACATATTATTCAGTTACAACAAGAGTGGTATTGAGCCTTTAAGAACATCTGAGGCTTTGAATAAAATATATCCTATGTGAAAAACACAAAATTTCATGCTTCAAGTAGATTATCCTAATACAAGCATAGAATCACAACCTAGGCCTACATCAAAATGGAATAATCATTTATGTTGGATTATCTGTATATAAAAACAACTATAGCCATGAGCTTGAGCCGACCTCACATGTTTATCATAATATAGTTAATATTGAAATGAGTATAGCAATAATACAAATACATTTATATGAAACCATTTCTATAAAATTTTCAAATTAATTATCTTTAATTAAAATCAATTTACATTATAAACATATATATATATATTTACTTATTAATTAAACATTCTAATGTTAACCCTACAAAGGAGATGTACATGTGTATTTTATCATATAAGCTACACAGTGCATACATATTTACAAGAGAACTTAGAAACTTCAATTATACAAAAGCTAAACTTTATTTGCTCTGAGCAGCTACATTCACATTCAACATATTTCTTTGTTAAAGTACATTACACTACATCCTATGTTCATTAATTGCATAAGCATTTTAGAACCTAAAATTATATATCTTGGAACAAAGTTAGATACACTGCATACATGTACATTTACAAAAAACCTACAATATCATACAAATTTTGGCAAATATACATAGCATATTCTCTTTGTTTTTTTAGGGAGAAAGAAATTCAAGCATGTTTAAATATAGACAAGTTATCAACATCTCCTACACTGACCCACAAGGTTCATTTGGTAAAATTAAGGCGAAAACTGAACTAGAGGTTGTGAGAAGGGTTAGGTGTTCTCACTGATGGCAAATTAAACACAAACCATACTAACAAAACATACCATACTAAGGAATGTATATATTACTTATATATAATATGCAATATCAATAATATCTCAAGATTTTAATTCAAACCAAAAAGTCTATAAGTGTATAAATGCATATTTAGTACAGAATGTTTAGCTAAGGTAACTTTGATCAAAAATATCCTATGTACCACACATTTTTACTTCTTTCTGTTTCAATGCTTTACGACACTAACACGATCACGGTTTAACCACACATTGGTTACCTTACAAAATATATATATCTTTCAGACTGTTGAACTAGGGCAAATAATTCATGTTATCTAACATATGCACATCATAAAATTAATGCTACCCACTGTAGCCTACTCTTATATAAAATGAGTGATTTCCTGTAAATTAAAACAGCACATAATGACACCACTGTTATGTTATCAACAACTTTTGTTAATGTATATTCTGATTAACCATTACTGATTGTTGTATTGTTTATAGGGGTGTAATGTTTGACAATACCACTGGTTTACAGCATAAATGCTCTATACTATATTTTACCTTACAGAACAAAAATGAATATTGAAATTAATCTATATATATAACACATTAGTTTCTTGCTCACATTAATTTCTTGTTTTATATTATACAATGTGCTTTAAATTTTAGCATTGTATAACTATACAAAATCATAATAATTCATACACTTCTAACTGTATGTGCCTTTAATAAAAAATAATTATAATTTTTGATGAGAGAGAATAGTTTGGTTATGTATATGATGTACAGTATAAGTCATGCTTGTTATCGTATACTATAAAGGGTGCGTTCGATTACTAGCGCTGCACTTACTCAATCCTCCACAAGTGCATGCGGGTTACCGATGTCATTTAAACAGCTTACAAGCGCCAGGTCAAAGTAACCTGCCCCGAGGAGCAAGTTACTTCGGGAAATGTCCCATAATCCAATTGTTTCACTTAGCTGCAAATCAACTTATTGATCGAAGTTATATTTTTAAATTAAGGTTAGGGGACGGAAGAATTATTGTTGACAGTTTGCTCCGATTAAAAATACAGTATTTCCATTTCACAGTATTGTTGTTTTATTTTAGTGATTCAACATCTTGGGGCAACGATTCCGGGAGTTAGAAAAGAACACTCAGCTTCCTTTCAGTTTCCCAAAGGCGCGTTCTATCGCAGAAATGAGCCGTTATTAATTCTTTTTTGATTACGGGTCAATTTTGTTCAAAATCATTGTGTCGAGTCCTAAGTCATGGCTGAAGAGGGCAGACTGGGTCCCCAAGTAGGAATTCTCCCTCCTGAAATTTGGTATCTGGTTTGAGGAAAATACAAGAATTCCTCAAAACCCTAGCGTCATGTGTAAACCCAGGCCAGCCGATGTAAACATGGGTAAAGAAAATTTGATGATCACATCCAGCCTGGAGTACGACCAAGTGAAATTATTGCAGTTGATGTATGATATTCGATTGTCCTTCATCTTGGGCGTCCGAGAAATTTACAACAGTCCAAAATTTCTTAACTTTGTTTCACTTCTCCCGATTTAAAAGTTCCAATAAGATGCCAATGAAAAAATCAGTATCAATTATAGCCCGTCGGTGGATTATTGTCTGCTCGTCGTTATTTATCAGAACACCGAACATAATTGTTTTGTGGCGTTTATCTTCCATTTTGATACCTAAACAAAGCGCCACGCTGTTCAATTACCCGTTCCCACTACACATGTTCAAACGTACTCAAAGATCCTAGTCAAGTAAGCTAGGAGCAAGTAATCAAACGTGATAAATGTAAATAAACTATAAACATACTTATGGAAAACAGCTACTGATTTATTTAGGCGACGTTTCAAAGAGTATTTTCTCAACGTTTTCAAGCCAATACATTATAACAAAATTTGAAAGTTAATTAGTCCCTTTTATCTTATTTTTGTATATCATAACCCCACTGTGTCATAGGCCTTTGAGCTTGTTGTTGCCATGTATGGTTTCAACCTTGTTATTGTAATTTTGTCTATATATGTTGCTTCAAATTTTGTTAAAATGTATTAGCTTGAAAAAGTTGAGAGAATACTCTTCAAAACGTCGCCTAAATAAATCAGTAGCTGTTTTCCATAAGTATGTTTATAGTTTATTTATCTGCCCAGTTACTAAATGCCACTTAAAGAATGTGATAATTGTAGATTAGTGATAATTGTAGATTAGTATAAAGAACACCACTTGACTTTTAGAGTTTCAAACAGGAAGTCTTCCTGACAAACATGTATATATTTATCTTCTATAACCTTAGTATGTGGAAATTTATCTTTAAAATCTTTTCAATCCATGACATTAATACAGGAAGTCTTCCTTAGATATAAACTACACATATGCTAAATATATAATATATCATATTACTCTTCAATCGATCAAAACGTTTAAATAATATTATTATTAAAGCGTTTTGAATATTCATTAACAAGGTTGACAACTAATAATAATTTCTATATATTAAAGAATATATACCTGATTATAAATAATAATAAACAAATCATAAAACCAAATTATACATAAATAATAATAATATCAACAGAATACACTATGATAATAACAATGACCAACCATTGTAGCTGGGAGTGACAATAATGAAAAATGAAGATATATAAAGCTTTTTATACAGGCTGTGTTCTGACGAGGAAAATACAGGGTGGAAACCGCTGTAAGATGGCTGAAAAGAATTGGTCTCTGTGACTATTAAAGATTTATAATCTCGCATGAATTAGAACCGGACAGAAAAATGGACAATGTTACAATAAGCTGTGTGCACAAACATCAAGGCCTTAGTGTTGTTTCTTTTAGTGCTGCTTTCTTATTTGTTGTCTCGGCACCACTTCTAAATGTGTTATTTCTATGAAATTAATTTTATTCATTCACTTTGCATTCATACAGGAAATTCATTTGAGCAAGTATTGGTATGCAATGCATAATATATATTAACCCAAATTAAACAGTGATAATAAAGCATATTATTTCAATCAATTTATTTTTTTAAATATTAATTTCAAATTTCAGAATAGAAATGCATATGAAAGTTAACTTCTACACAAGATATTTAGCCAAAAAGGCAGGTACTATCGTATCATAACCATGCCCGCAAGACAATATATGCTGGGGGTGATAACTCTTGGGTCAGTGATTTGGCCCGAATTTCTTCTGTGAGATGGGTTAGTACCCAGATACATCCCCACAAAATATTAGATTGATTCAGTTGATGTCAACCTGGCAAATACGAAAAAATATTCTTTAATAGAAAGATAAGCAGAAAATGGGCAATTTTGGTACAAAAGTAAAAAGATTTGTTTTTCGGACAATAATTGTTTTGGATAGACAAAATTCTGGGCACTCAGGCTCCTCCTACACACCAAGTTTTAAATTTCTACTCCTTGGTACTCTCTCTGGAAACTAAATATAATGAAAACCAATGTTTAAGAGGCCATAGCTCATTCTACCCACGCAACCTTTCTACTAACAAAATCAAAATGACCGAAACAGGTATAATATAATTAAACAGGAGAAATAAATTAAAATTACCAAAATTTGGGACAAAAAGTTCCACTGATCAATATCCCAGTTGAAGTATATGTATAGACATCTTTACAAATTTAATATGATTTAGACTTGATAGAGAGAGAGATAGAAAAATGGGGCTTAATATCTAGACATCAACTAGGTCATTTTGGGACTAACATATGGTGATGCATATGTTGTATTGACATTGTTACAAAGTTAATATATTACATTCAGTCGTTAGCACGGATGATTCTGACTAATGAGAGAATAAAGGGGGTTTACGCTTCACTCAACACAAACAAGGTCCTTTTGGGACTAACATATGTTACAATTTACTTCAATAATTCACTTGCGTGAAAAGAGAAGATCCGTGATGTTGGACAGACAACACTACTCCGTGTCATTTATAAACTTGAGATGAAAAGCTTGCTACCTAACTGAATGACAGATCTTATGATCTAAAGTACATGAGTACAACCACTTTTGACTTACCAAGGGACAAGTTTCATCAATGTCCAATTCAATTTACACAGAATAAATCTTATATGAATATGATATAGTTACGAAAGGTGAAATATGATACACAATTCAGAGTAAGCCATACTTTTATTGGAAATAACCACCTGATAAATACTTTTGTGGGAATGTATCTTTAAGTAAATAAGCTTGTCAAAACAATTACCCGGAAGAGGGCAAATCGTTTGAATGTTGTCTAAATTATGATAATATCAATAAAAATACATTTCAACAACAAGTAAAAGTTCATGGAAGTCAAGGTTAATACTGAACTCTGTTACCAAATAAACAACCTTGATCCCTTCTACAGAACAGTATAATTTATCGCACTAGTAACAAATTTCAAATTTGTAGTGTTACTCAAGTCTGAAGCCAATTACAATGGTTGATTAGTTAATAAATTACATGATGTTTACTATAATAAACAAAGTCAGCTAAGTTTCAAACAAATCAATTAAAGTTAAAACATTTGGTGTAACGTGATTCTGTTGTATCATCTCTGACTGATCCTTCATGTATGTAACAAACACTGCCAGATTATTCAGATTATACATGCCTGGACGACAAAAACCTGCTCTTAATGGTACCTGTTTACTTTCTCCAACATCCAGTGATACTTGTGCTAATGTTTGTCCAACCCAATTAAAACTGGTACTGATTGGGATCAAATGAGCTTGTGAACCATCAGTTGTTTGTACTGCTTTCAATCTTAAATGTAACAATTATTATTTAGTTTATTAAAGATACATTATGGGAGATTAGATAAAGAGTTGACAGTTCTCACTATAATAGCTAAAAACTAGATAATGTAAAAGGAATTTGCTGAAAATTTAAGTCAAATTGATCCACTATGAACCAAGAATTTAGCTATTGAATTTTTGGCCTAAAATCGATCATCATTACTAAAGTCGGAACGATAAAAAACAGTCTTGATTATCCATTTCATGATTAAATCATGAATGAAAGTTGAGCAGCAAATCGATCATCATTACTAAAGTCGGAACGATAAAAAACAGTCTTGATTATCCATTTCATGATTAAATCATGAATGAAAGTTGAGCAGCAAATCGGATCCTAATCCAATAAATATCGCAGGCTAGCGATGACATAGAGAGTTGATTATGGTCTGGATAAGTTAATTAATGCCTAATTAATAATTTAGATAACATTTCAGGCCTAAAGAAAGACCTGCAATAGGCAGATTTATCTTTTGAATAATGTATGTTTAACAAGATCTGATTGTCCAGCAGTTAGAGGAATAGATCAACCTTCAGAGAATTACCTGATCAATAAACGGAAAAGTTATTCTTCCTATATATTCATGTGGTATGTTTCTGGTAACAAATATGTGGTAACGTTTCGTAGCGTCATGTATATCCAACAGAATAAAGAGTTGAAATTTAGTAATGATTACTGATACAATGACTTACCTATCTGTAACTTGACAAGTATCTATTAATATATCTAACTTTACTCCAGAATGATTTTGTAATTTTAAACTCACAGGTACAATACATAACCTATAAAATAACAATAAAAAACACTTGAAAAATGTACTTTGATACCTTACTTTATGCACTGTGCTATGAGGGGGGTATTTTGTATAGACATCAACACTGCAAGCTGCTCTTATTTTGATTTCCAACCTCTGTTCCGCACCACTGACATGGAGAATTCAGGAACTTTCTAGTCAAAACTTGGATAGAATCGGGGACCTCACGATTAGACAGCCAGTTGCATTGGTTATATGAAAGATATTTGTAAAACTGTATTCAAAACAGATTCGGCAGTGTATGGTACTGTATGGCTTAACAGTAGTCTATTAACTATACAGAGGTTGGATTCTATAGTAGGCTGATAAATCAGTTTTCTATTCAAGTCTAACAAGTACTTTTACTAGCATCTTACCCAGAGTTAAAATCATGTTTAATACTAGTTTTATATAGAAATGAATAGCTGACAAGTTTAGTTGTAACTTCAGGTCGTGGTTTAACTTCATTTTCAGGTTCAATCTCTCGTATAAATTTTAGCTGAGTTTGATCAGATGACGCCTACAGAAAAAATACATGGATATCATTCAATAAATAAATAATGCCTATATAAATATTATTTCACTGACGTCCACAGTGAAGCCATGTGTTTCAATTTGTTTATTTTTACTCATTATCTAATAATAATAGTTTAAAAAATGTGAAAACCAAAATACAAATTATTCTTCGTTAAGAATTTAGGTGATCATAATGGGCCGATATATTGTGCTGAGTGCTGTTTAGACAACAAACGATTGCTTTACGGTAAAGATACAGTGCTTACAAATTTCTCAAGCAAAATTCCTTGAAATTATTATTTTATTGATATACTTACTAAGACTAATGGATATGAAGTAACAACGTTATTAACTGTTTCTAAGTGAATATGATGCTGACCCACTAATATCTTCATCTGACCATTTTCCTGAGCAACGAAAGCCTGAAACATTCAAATCCATGGAACAGTAGTAATGCCATTGAAGTTATTTAATATCTGAATAAATTTGTATTTCTTATGCAACCAGTGGTTGCCATACAAGATAAGTCCATTTTGAAAATGTAGACGTATAAAAATTGTGACCTGCAGAAGGTCCACAAACAAATTGTGGACGGATGTACAGACGGACGGGGCGTGTTGACAAAATATGTCCACATGAAAATATTGGTGTATAAAAAGTGAAGGATTTCTGATGCTTATCATTTTTAATTTACAATTACATACACACATACCATATGCAGTACATTAGAAAAAGAACAATAGAATTTGTTGACTATGAACATTTCAAGAAAATAAGAAGTGGTATCTGGTGTTTCAGACAGAATAAGCACACTCAGTCATGTGCATTACATCCATCATTATAAATAGCCGTTAGGAAATGTAGTTGAAATCTTGAGATAAAACAATCTGATGTTTACCTTCCACAGGCATATTAAGATCATCTTTACATTTAAAGCTTGATTTAACATCTCAAACTGTCTATCTTTATCACCGGCAGTATCCTGTTTTCTACGAGTCTCATGCCATATTTGTGATCGACAGTAAAAATCACAGCAAGGTGTAGACACACTATTCACCTGAAAAATATTGATAGAGACCATATTATAAAAAACACAAATTTATGGATTTACGACTTCTTAGTTTATTTCACGAGATCACATAGATTATTTTTTTTTTCAAGGAATTAATCACTTCAAGCAAAAAGGTTTTCTTAAATTAACCCATTGATGTTTATTTTTTAACAACAAGCAACCTCAGTGACATTGGTATATCTCGACATCTATATATTTTTAAGAACTCAAATGTGCACAAATTGTCATTTTAGAACTAAAAGAATATACAACAGAGAGCAATTCAACTCGTACACATTATTTTGTTTTAAAGACAGGTGGATATATATTATAGACCATATATTATTGTTCATGTGTATTCATTATGAAAGACAGAGAGAGAGAGATGGGGTTTAACGTCCACTCGACACAAACTAGGTCATTTCGGGACTAACATATGGTTTAATTTTATTTCAATAATTCGCTTGCGCGTAGGGGTCTTTAGCAGTGGGAGGAAACCAGAGGACCCGGAGAAAATCCACGAGGTTGGACAGGCGACCCTACTCCTTGTCACGTACAACCGGGGATTCGAAACCACGCCAGTCGACTCAATGACAGACTTTATGATACAGCGCGCGCACGCTAACCATTCAGCCATCCAACCCCCCTCATTATGAAAGAATCATACCTGCTCGATATCAAAGGGCACTTCACTAATTAATAAATTACCACCTGGAAAATAAAATAACCAATTCTATAGATTTGTATACATACAACTAATGTTTGTAACCATACTTCAATTTATTTGATTACTTTTAATTGTCTGGGTGGTGACAATCATTTCACAATAAATATCCTATTTTATTGTTCCTGTTTATTCACATGGGGGGGGGGGGGTCAATCAAAAGCGCAATACATAAGCACACCACTTTTAGAATTTGTGTGTCAGATAATATTAGGCTACACAAAATAAATGTCTCGTTTCTCGGGCAACTGACAGCTGAAACTATAGGGGGGGAGGGCGGTTTATTTTTTTTTTTTACCTCATTTCTGGCTAGAGGATGGTGCAAAATAAAATTTGGCTATTGTTGAAAATTGTTGGGGCGGGAGGGCGGCCTTGTATTTTTTTTTTAATGAGAAAGTCATTACTTGTCTACGGTTTTGCTTTCAGTTATATATTATACATACTTAGAACATAAACCCAAAAATCAAGTCTACTCAAACACTGAACACTGACTGAAAGGAAAATAATTTTCCATATTTAATTCACGTAATTAGCTTACTAATACTGACAACCATAATTGAAATTGGTTTAAAATAAAATTCCGTACGACTATTAATAGCCGTCCATAATAACTACAATATTTTAAAGAGTAAGCCTCTGTCAGCATGTGTATCAAAAATAATCATCACAGTAAACGACAGTAGATCTAAATCTAGTATCGCTGGTTTATAATGATTGACCTAATTCCAACCAATGCATGTCACGTGTCATCGGGATTTGGGAAATTACTGTTTCTCAGGATATTCGGTGTGTTTCTCAGGCGTTCTATCCGGGGTTTATATAGAATGACTATTTAAATTTAACTAACAACTGGTCAGTAAAACCATCAAATGTGTAATCCAATTATTATTTTCCGGATTATCAAAAGTACCGTTAAATGTGCTAATGACCCAGATTCTGACTAAGGCAAGGTATGGTGACTATCAATATCATCGTATCGTATTCGTAGCCACAAGTTATAATAATTAACCTGTTCTACGATTCATTGTTTTATAAGTAGGATTTTTTCAAACATGGACCGACTGAAGCCGGCAATAATGAGCCGATTAAGATCGAATGATTGAAATACATTGCATTGTTGTCAATAACTTTCGGTATTTAACACGAATCAAATTCTAGTTCACAAGGGGAGGTAATTAAAATCACGTGATACAAAAATGGAGGTTCTTTCGATATCAATAAAAAAGACCCGTAAATGAGCGTTTACATCTGAATCAGTTTAATACATTTAAATGGATTTTCACGTATGGGGCATGTAGATACATGCGGCATATTGTTTTTATGACTTGCTTATCGATGTTCGGGCGGGCGTTACATATTTTTTATTTTTCATCAAGACTAATAAATAGGCCGCACGAGAAACCAATTTTGCGTGCGGGCGGTGCCCGAGAAACAACTTATTTTATTTGTGTTGCCTTAGTGGATGGGGCCATCAAAAACACTTTTAAATAAAATTTTGGTTTCTTTAATCTATTGAGAGAGGGAACAAATATATGTAGTTTTTGGAAGAGAGATGACAAAACAAAGACGTCTACCCGGCCAGCAACCCAACCCTGATATTTTCCAATGGAATTTTGTGATAGAATAAGACAACAATTTGAAATATAGAGCCTGATTTATTAGAAACATTTTATTACCATTTCTTTGGTTTGATTTTGTTCCCTTCAGAACCAGCTGAAGACATTCTCTGCTACCGATTCTAATACCTGTCAAAAAGCATAAGAGGCATTGTCAATATATTAATAATTATTGACATGTACTACATACAAAAAAATCATCTTTCTCTTACTCCTGTCTAAATGCCATTTCATCATGTTTTTATCTCAAAAACTAAATTATATACCTAATAAGTAGTAGATAGCAACCACTTTCCGGGTTGTTATAAGGGCAGAGCCTGTAATTTTTATTTCAAATATACTATTCAAAAAAAGTAGGGGATATTTGATTTTTAAGTGTTATTAAAGTCACCTAATGAAACTGAAGAAGAAACAAATGACAAAATGAAATGAAGTTCACATTCATCGATTTATTCCAAATGATCGTTAGACTAAGTAAGGCACAGACTGACCATTATAAGGGTAAAATGATACCCGGGGTCAAACAGCAAAGTTACCACAGCATCACAACCAAGTCAGTAACGGGTAAATCCTCCTCTGTTTGCCAAACAAGCATTGATCCGACGTGGCATACTCCTAATGAGACATCTAAGGTCATTTTGGTCCAGATTGTCCCATTCCTGTTGCAACACAGCAGCAAGTTCTTGGACATTGGCAGGACGTTGTTGACGTTGACGTAACCTCTGTCCAAGCATGTCCCAGACATGCTCGATGGGGGAGAGGTCGGGACTCAGTGCTGGCCAAGGTAATGTGGTGATGTTCTGTTGTTGGAGGTAACCTGTAACGATCCTGGCCCTGTGACATCTTGCGTTGTCATCCTGGAAGATGAAACGGCGGCCATGACGCCGTGCGAACGGCACAACATGGACTGCCAAGATGTTGTCCCGGTAGTACTGGCCTGTAACACGCCCTGCAACAACATGTAAAGACGTTCTTCCAGCAACAGTGATGCCTCCCCACACCATAACAGAACCACCCCCAAATCGATCATGTCTGATGACGTTAACGTCTTGGAAGCGCTCGTTTCGACGACGCCACACCCTCCTACGTCTGTCCAAAAAATCAACAGTGAACCTTGACTCATCTGAAAACATCACATTGCTCCAGCGTCGATTATCCCAGTGTTGACGATCCCTACACCAACGACGTCTTGCCTGAATGTGATGATCTCTCAAACAAGGGATCACGCGAGGACGTCGGGCGCGAAGGTGACCCCTATGCAGTCGATTCCGAATCGTCTGGCCACTCACTCTCACACCAGTGTCTGTTTGAAGACGAGCGCTGATCTGATTTGCTGTGATGACACGATTTCTCAAGGCCAAGGTACGGATAAATCGATCCTGGGCTTGAGTTGTCGCCCTTGGTTGACCTGAGCGTGGTCTGTCCTGTACAGATTGTGTATCACAGTATCTGGACCATAGCCTGCTTATGACAGACTGAGAAACATTCATCGTCCGCGCCACAACCGCCTGTGTTGTGCCGATCTGTAGCATGCCAAGGGCACGTAACCTTTCATTTTGGGTAAGCCGACGCATATCAAAATTTGTTTTCTGGTCACTAAAACAATTAAACTGATGTTTCCACCCTGGAATTCAATGCCACAATGACTGTAACATTCAAAGTCAGAGTCGTGCAAATCTTGGGTTGGACCCCCATGATGATCCCAAGCATCACCTGCATTCCATGCGGTAGCTATTGGTGCGTTTGGGCGTCACATGTAACTGGAAATGTTTCTTCTGTTAGGTTCTATAGTGACTTTTTTCGTAGTCATTTGCATATTTTAGTATTATGCCCCCAAAATCAAATATCCCCTACTTTTTTTGAATAGTATAATAATAACCATGGAAATGGGGTGCTATCTGACTTACACACCGACTCTATAAACAATTCTATGGAATACAATTACTGCTTATTACTAAGCGATGTTCTGACTAGGCTTCTTTAGTCATTATCAAGCAATGATAAAATATGAAAATATAACAAGACAATATATACACCTGCACACAACAATACTTAGTTAATGCTGACTGGTTGTTGTGTGTATGTATATACTGTCTTGTTATATTTTCATATTTTATCATTGCTTTATAATGACTAGAGAAGCCTAGTAGAAACGTCGCTTAGTAATAAGCAGTAATTGTATTCCATAGAATTGTGACTTGTATACTCCAGTTCAATTACTAAATGCCATTGAAACAACCTATAAAAAGATTATCGCCAGGTATTAGGGCATTCATGAGTAATAGTTATCAATATCAATCACTGCATGACTTGTGCACGTGAAATTCAAAGTATGTGCGTTCTGATCAATGGTTTATTGGGGTTCTGATTATTAGAGAATAATATTACCTAAATATCAACCACTAATGACTTTACAGAAGGTTGATACAGGGAATAACCATCAATACATCAATTATCGCTGCAGAAGATAAAACCTGGACGTGTGTTTCACTTAATAATACCTTACCTTTCTGATCACAGGTACTAAGACTAGATATCTGCCATACTGGACTTACACAAGATACCTGGGTTATCTGTAATTCTTGAATGTGAGGTCTTTGAATCTGTACCTAAATACAGAAAAGAAATATTTGATGTATTTGCACATAAAAGATAGGTTGCCAGGCAACAAACCATACGCCCACAGCAGCTAAAATATCCGAGAGGTCGACAATGCTTGTCGGATATTTATTCTTTTGTAGATATGGGGGCATTTAGCTGAAGCTGAAACAAGGGACTAAGCTCTGGAAGTAATTTACAGAAATTGTTGAAATTCAACCAGCTTTTTCATTTTACTAATTTAAATAATGCATATAAATTTCATACAGATCAGATTATAACTTTTGTTATTCGAACTTTCACAAGTTCAACCATGTAAAATTGACAGAAATTGCTGAAATTCAATAGGCTTCTTCGTTTCACTAATTTAAATAATGCATATAAATTTCATACAGATCGGATGATAACTTTCATCATTCGAGCGTTCACAAGGTTCAACTCAACTTTCGTCATTCAAATGCTCACAAGGTTCAACGAAGTTAAATAAGGGCAATAACTCTAGATGTAATTATTGGAAATTGCTGAAATAGGAGACTTCGTGTCATTAATTTGAATTGTCTGTATAAATTTCATATAGATTGATGATAAATTTTGTCGTTCGATCATTCACAGTGTGCAACAAAGTGAAACAAGGGCCATAACTCCAGAAGAAATTAACAGAAATTATTGAATTTGAAGTTTCATTAAGATCAAGCAAAAACTGTGACTTCTAGAGGGTTCACAACCTTGGTATTACATACTTTTACACTATCTGCGAAAATCAAACTCATTGGTGTATAACGGTGATGTATTTGAACGTTTTTTACACAAATTGTGACTTCTAGTAGTTCTAGAGTTTCCACAAGCTAAAAACGTGATTTTTCGAACAATCATGGGCCATAATCCAGGAAGTTATGTTCCAATACATGCCAATTTCGAAAGGAACAAGATCTTTGGGAGATAGACCTACATTTTAAGTTTCAAAATCAGTTAAAAATTGTGACCTGCAGGGTGTCCACAAACAAATTCCACATGGAAGGACGGATGGAAGGGGGTCAACGACAATACACGTCCACATCATGTGGACGTATAAAAACTAACATTATTCTATCTTGAGTTAATGATCACTTCATGTATTTATAGATGTACAATGTGATTAATAGACCTACCTGACTTAGATTTTCCAGTTCACATGATATTGTACACGAGTTGAGCTCCTCTCCTGAATTACGACTAACACAAGCACTTGATTGAAAAGCTGATACATGAACACTAAGTGATTCTACTGTATTAATAATTGCACGATGTCGTAAAATCCTATACCTACAAAAAATACAATATGATTAAATATCAATGGATGACACCTAGATATATGTTACATTTTACGTTACGTAAAAAATCTAAAGAAACAAAAGAAAAATATGATTTTCATTAAAGGCTCAATACCACTCTTGTTGTAACTGAATAATATGTCCCAATCTTTATTCTGGTCAACAAATTGTACTATTTTACAATATTCAAATTAATTGATGATACAAATTTCATCTTAACACACCTAATTTAAAACATTGGAAAAATTCAACTAAATGATTTGAAAAGCCTGATGTAAAGCTTTTCAAATGTGACTTGGATTTAAAAATATTTTTGAACCCTCTGGACAAGTAAAATAGGATTAAATGGATAATTTACACAACAGGTAAGACACTAACACATCTAGTACTTAGAATGGAGCTGTCAAGCCAGCAAGAGTGTTATTGTCCCTTTAAATAGCAGATAGTATAAACTATGAAATTTAAAGGATTTCAATAATTTCTCTGTTCTACATAAACAACTTTCAAGAGCAAGAACTATGTTTGATTCTGAAGCTGCATAATTTTGAATAAGACGGTGCATTCTACAAATTTCAGATATGTAACAAACAAAGATGGAGAAAACTGACCTCTCTGTAATAATATGTTCTAAGTCCATAAATTGGACTATTGGTTTTCTGGTCACTGGGAGTTCTCTCCCTCATATATGTATAAACATGGCTGAATAAAACATGTGTTCAAATGAGACCTTAAGCATTTTGAAGAATATAACACTTGCAATGATGGATGCAACGTTACATATAAGTTCTCATTTTTCTGATCATATTTCAAATAGTTTTACTTACTTGATTTTCGATTGATGAGTTAAAGGTTCATAATAAAACAAGAAATCTACTTCGTGCACACCTCCTATATCATTTCCTCGTAACCACATTGGTAGCGATATTGTCTCCCCTGGCTTCAATACATTATCACTTAACAGAATGTCCAGAACATTTGACACATTAAAAAAATCCTTTTTATCAATTTTATCACACATGGAAGTATCAGTTTTACTCGAACGCTGCTGATAGACGTATGGATATTTAGGTAAATCGGATCCAACACCAAACGTACAAAACTCTGGATGACTGGTAGTCAGTTTAAGTGTTCTTAAAGGGCTACGACCACAGTTTGTAAATTCTATTTCTATACAATGAACTTCACCACATAATAAAGCATCCGGAAAATCACAGAAATTCACCTGAAGAATAAAATAATTTTTACTGAACCTTTAATAAATATATTAAAGAGTTAAAACAATCCTAAACACTTGAATCTAGAAAGGAAAGGAATTGTTTTCAGTCATTTTGAAACTCTATAGTGAATGATGTCTACAGTATGCACAATTATGCCAGGCCAACAGCCTCTCAACCTAGACTTCTTCAAATTCTAACAACTAAAGGACGTTTTACCTGCACCACTTAATTGCACATAGAACTTAATTTTTCAATACACACTGTTTCTCTATCCAAGACAAACTTTTCTGGTCTCGGCCTTACCCGGAGACATGAAGTTTCTCAGTTCTCACAAGGCTTCGAATCAAGGACACCAGTGGAGTCTGGGAAGACAATTCTTTATTTCTTAGAAATTCTTTTTACCTGTAATATTGGCATCTCTTCTTGTATAACCAAATCAAGTCTTCTATCTGGACCATACGCTTTGTTGACTTTATCTTCTTTAGTATTATTAAGACGAGGTCCTTGTACCTCTAATCTCTGTTTACCACGAACAAATACACTACTAAAATAACTGGATTTATTGGATTCTCCTGGTAATGTTACAACTGGCTGTTGAGGTGTTGTACCCAGATTATAAGCTAATCCTACAATTCTTAACTCACCGGGTTGGCGTGGTACTAATGTCAGATGAATCTACAAAACAATGACATCATTATAAATAATAAAACAAGCAAATGTTTCCCCACCTCATGCTCCTTCTTTGTGAGCAGTCGGATAGGCGCCGCAATTTTGTTTCTTAAATTGAAAAATAACAACACATCATGAACACTTCAGCTAGCAAAGTGATGATATAATATCTGATATTTACATATAAATATGGGGAATATGTCTGTCTTTATAGAAGATTGCTTTATTTACATGGAGACTGCTCAAGTTATTTCTAGATTAATCAAATAACTCACTGGTTGACTTTCTTTTCCTTGTAACACAACTTCTTTTATAACAGCAGTTTGAATTATTTCATCAGCTAAATTATTCTAAAAATAGAAAGATGTTATTTCACTAGTACACATACATTCATTGAAGTGGTATGCTTTACATCCAGTCTATTTAAGCTACCTGTATATATGTCACAAAATCAACATGCAACAATGGTCTTTCGACACTTCTGCCTATTTGTTTAGAAATAACACAACCTCAGTTGTAGAGTTACGATTCTCAATAAAAGGATAGACTGAACATCAATCGAGTATTGGCAGAAACCTGACTAAAATCCATAAATTTGTATTACCTTAACACCTGTAGATATTTCATTAGATATAAGTTGTGGTTTATCTGTACCAGCTATACATGGTAAAAAACTCCATAATAACATGACTTCTGATAATACTAACGTTACTTGTAGTGGATTCTCTACATTGACTTCAACAGTAATTGGTTCTAAAACAGAATTTAGAAGAAATAATAGCAGTAACAAGTTTTTATTAAATACAATTTTTCTTTACATGTTTATTATTATTTCAAATGTAAAGGCTAAAATAATTATATATATATATACTTCATTTAAACATATTTGCACTTGACCTGTGCTAGGTAGACTTAACCCAAGCATTTGGTACATGAAACTATTGACTATCCTAGTTTCATGAAAATATTTGACAAAATTATCACCATATACTATTGCTTCCTATACTGACCCAAGTTGTGTGCAGTACCTTCTGAATTATATTTTTATTAACAACCGCCTTACCTCCTACAAAACCTGTTGGACTATATTTATTTTCTGTGTGATTTGTAAAACACTGGATTGTTTGTTGAAACATGGCAGATAAACTACCATGATTAGCTGATTTCACCAGATTTTCTTCTAGCTTCTGCCATACAGTTACATTAGCTGGGTCTTCATCAAACCATATTCCTGATGCTGGCGTTTTACGTACATTTTCTAAACAGGAGGAAAAAACATAATTTGAAAATATGATAAATACTATATTTTGAATATTTAAGCAACAATTTCAGTGTAATCTATTTAGACATATCTATCAGAATTAAGATTGAAACAGATATTACCTTTCGATTCCACGGAAAAAATAATGTCAATGTTCTGATTTGCAACTTTATGAATCTGTTGCATTTGTAGATTGTTAAAGATTCAAAATATAATATATGGATTCAATTTATCACAATCCTCATTTTCATTCTAAGCATTCTAATTTATTGAAACATTTAACATACCTGATGGAGTTGATTTCTTTCCTAACAATACTTTAGTGGCATTAGCATTTACATTAGGTAACGGTAATTCTGGTAGACGACCATAAGAACTATTTTCTCCTGCTTCCTGACTTAACAGTTGCTTTAAATAAACCCAAATACATTATATATATTTTCAAAATAGTGAAGTATAAAATGTATATACAGGGGTCTCGATTAGTTATCAAGTTAGATAAATTCAGGCAAATTGATTAGCAATGTCCAGTTTTGATTAGCAGTGTGAGTGTATGAATATCCATAGACTACAATTTCAGGAAAACTGGTTTAAATAAACAAAGGACACAATTTGGAATATTATCAAGTTAGTTCCACATCTATAAACTGATTATTTTACATTAATTAATATTATGGGCCATTTTTTCTTGGTATTAAGATTAGGATATATAGCAGTCAAAAAACTTGATAAAAGATTGCTACTGTGGAGTTGAAAAACACGGTATTATATACCACTTCGACATATAAGGTTGGAAAAACAACGACTCAACTTATACTCCACAGCAACTTATACCCCGTAAAATACGGTAGTTGAATTGATAAATTGTAAAATAACATTAAGAAACATTCTTATTACAAGAAATTGAATGGTGCTATTTATATTGTATTTGGTCCAGTATTAATGATGAAAATTTATGATTTTTATGCTATTTTGAATGTTAGAAAAATGGAGATTTTTCACCAACTAATAGTACCTTATAAACAAAGAGATATTCTCTTAAGAAGGAACCCTGTTGAGTGGGAACCTGTAAGCTGTCTTCACCCAGAAGATGTTTAAATGCAGCAGTAGCATTTTCCAATTGTTTCAAGTTAAATGATTGACGTCCAATAGTAAAATGAATGTGATCCTACAAAATAGAAATAAATTAATGTTTTAATTTATTAAAACTGAAAAGTTTCTAATATCCAGAATATTATATCAACACAGATAGAATCAATATATTATCAAATCATATGTTTTATTTTTCTTACCTCTGCTAGAGACCAATGTTTACTTTTATAGATCTGTAATGCTTGTGAGTAAGATCTTAATGCATGTTTTCTCTGAAAATATAAAAGTTACATTTAAATATATAGTAATTAATTATGTTTATTCATGCATGTAATGGTAATAATTAATACCAAAAACACAAATCAATTAAATAAAAATATAACAAGAGAAGCTTATATTTAGGTTATAACAACGATAGAAACAATTTTCAAAATCTTTCTTGATTCTGCATTTCAATTCACACTAAATTAAAGATTGCCTTTATGTCATCATTGACAGAACTAGAAATAGCAATTGTCTCAATTGGAAATGGTAGAAACATGACTAAAAGTTAAGTTTTGACAAGTAAAATAATCAAATATGAACAATTTACTAAAACTATGTCCATTTCTGTGTCTGAAAGATCTAGTAGTATTGATGACATCAGTTCAGTAATATATCTTTTAAATAAAGGGTACAGATTGAATTTTTCTGAAAGTTGATCCAAATACAGTAGCTGTGATAAATATGTATCTTTTGAAATATGTATAGAAATAGATGGACCATCTCATGTACAGCAGTCATGGGTATGCATACTAATTGTATTATATGAAGACTTACCTGTACAGATTTATTAAATCTATGACCAGCCAATATAATATGGAAAGAGTATTTACGAACTAAAGGTACTTTCATGTTAATAAAACAATGGGCTGCTTGCTCTAAAAACAATGCACTGGACAAATCAGAATCCTACAAAATACAAATCATCAATTGCTAAATTAGGTCAGTGTAAAAATGAAATGAAATGGGGTTTAACATCCTACTGAAGTCACTGTAAAGTTTGCATTTTACAATTTTATTTTTGAAAGAGTATGAAAATTTGTACACAAAAAAAAAGCTGAATTAATGTATCTGTTTTATATTTATGAGTTAATTTATCTGTTTTATTTATGAATTTATTAATGCTTTATTCTATATTTTCAACTACCTCATTAGTTAGTTTCAGAAACTGCATTGCTGCCTCTCGAAACATTCCTCTACTTTTTAATGCATCAGTGCTGGTTAAAGTAGCTCTTGTAGCGAATTGAGGATTTCTGAAATTAAATATTTGAATATGAACAAAACATCAACACCCATTCAGTCACAGTCTACAGTAACCACAACCAATTAGACTGCTTAGTTTTTATAACTTTGGTGCTATCACTAAAAGCTGAAACTCAGATTAAACATCAGTTGTTATATACCCAGCCTACCAAACCATTCCCTTTGGAGTCAATCTACAAAAAAAGGAAATATTTCCCAAACATTACGTTATTCTAGTATATGTCATGATTGAATGTGTATAAGTACACTTGTTTTGATTTTTATAATTTCATTAGCTTACCCTGCATTAAGATCTAAGACCACCCTTACCACTTTCTGGTCTGAAGAGATCAATAGTAACCTACTTTCACTTTTGCAATGATTATGACATCAAATGATAATAACAGAAACCAACAGAGTATTTTGAAAGATAAAACTAGATGAATATCAAGCAGAAAATACTCTTGTATGATTTTACCTGCAAGTTGCTATGTATGTTGTAATAGCAGATTCCATATAATGATGTGGATATGGTCTTTGAGCTTGATTACCCTGCATAAATATTGATAAACTGGCCATTTCCTAAAAAAAAAATCAAGATAACAGTGGATTCATGTATTCAGGGTTCGAAATGTGGTCACAAAAACGACAACTGGTGAAATCAATATATAATCATTTGATTTTCAAATCTTCAGGAAAATAGTCTGGATTTAAAGGGACTATAAAATAAACAAGTAAGAGCGTACTACGTACCAGGAAACAAGGATGATATCATCGCCGCCAGTCCAAGGAACAAGCATGCCAAAATTTATGTTGATTGTAATTGAATCTGTGAAGCCTTGTGCGTTTTTCGAAGAGAGTTGCCCCCAAGAACAAGAAAATCAAACATACACAAGACAGACACTCAATATAGAGACCATACAGAAGACCTTGAGATTTAAATACTCATAACTCCACCCAATAAAGCATTATTATTATTTTTGGTGTCAAAGTTTTGAATAAAAAACAGTACATGTAGTAAAAATAACTTACCAATGTACCTGCTAGATGCAACCATGCATGATCATTATTGAAATCACGTTTAGCTGTATGATATGTCTGATAAGCAAATTCAAACATCTGGAATAGAAAGGCTAGATCAGCCATTCTTCGTAGCTGAAGTTCCGGAGCATCTGAGGTGTACCTAAAACAGTTTAGATAATCTAAATTAATTATTGTAACATTCTCTTATTCATTAATTCCACTTATTACAGCTTTCAATTTCCAACAAAAATTACCATACTGCTACCCCCCCCCCCCCCAACAAACTTGAATTTAATGAAATCCCTATGAAATGTATGACAAGAATATCGTACTCACACTACAGTTGTATTCTGATTAGAAGGGACATATCCCGAAGGCTTGTTACCACCAAACCATTTTTTGGTAGCACTGAATATTGACCTATGAATACCTTTCCTAGATGTCAGCTATACAAAAACAAAACAATGATAACATATTAATGAATAAAATACTAATATCAGTTACTGTTTACTAGTAATAATTATGGAAGCAGTATTTCAATCATATAAAGAGTTTCAATCATGTGGTACATGTATTTCCATTTAAAATTTGGGTCAAACCATTTCACGGAATAGTAAATGCAATGTTATCCAACTCATGGGTGTTATTTATGTTAACTGCTTTTCTTTAATTAACACTTTCACTGCTTAGCTTCTATGATAAACATCTTTATGTTTTTGTATTTAGAAGTGAAAGTATTACTGGTAATAATGAGGCAGTTTTAACACTGTACAGTGTAATTAAATTATTTTGTAAAAGGGAGTAACTCTAATTTGGTTTTACAGTTTAAAAGCTTAGTACACTCCTTTTTGCATCATATAATACAATTTACCTGTTCACTGAATATTCTCATTTGTCGTTCTGCCCAAGGCACCAGAGCTTTTACAACAAATTCATGCATAAAGATACGTAATCTATCCATATCACTTGTCGTTAGACATATTCCATGAACACGAGATTTAGTTTTATCACTAGTTCCTGGTGTTGTACTGCGACCATCTTGGTAACCATTAGCAGCTGCTGTAGGATCTCCGTCTGGTGAGTTTGGTCCACTTAATGGATCTCTTAAATCATTTGAAGAGAATGCCAAAGGATGATCCATCAGAGGATTAGAAAGATTAGGAATTGAATCTGACATTCCTGGAACTATAAATACACCATAATCAGAAGTGCAAACTGGTATCTATTGGCCATATTAAAACAATCATAACAAAGCAATATGAACAAAGTAGGTTTTTCTCTGACTGGAGTTTACTTGCTTGAAAATTAAATTGGGTTAACTGTTATATGTGGAATGTTCAAACTTGATTGCGAGACATATTAAGTCATTAATATTTTCAGATTGTGTAGTGGTATTCAAGCAGATTGGTGGGGGGGGGGGGGGGGAATGAAATGAGGTTTAATGTCCTACTGCACAAACTGGGATAATGAAGCCGGCCATATGTGGTAGTATGTTATGAGGAAAATTTTACCAGGCAGCAGTGTTTTTGTGCATTAAGGTATTGACATAAGGTTGAACTTACCAAGATTAGTCTTGTCATCAAACTCAAGTGAACTAGTCATAATAGAATCATCAACAATTTCTGGACCTTCTGATAATCTTGATGGGAAAGCTGTATCATCAGTCTCCGCATAGTCATAATCAACACCCTCCTACAACATAAAATATGGCTTCTTTATATATGGTCACTATATGGCAAGTCTAATATGTACAGTATTCAAAATACAATACATAATTTCACACACAATATTTCCAAATTCTTAACAGAAATACAATCATTTGACCCAATATAAATAATAACCTTTAAATTATGTTACTGTCATATTGAAGAAAAATGCAAGTCATTAGCAGTTTTAACATAACATTTAATTTCCTCTTCTACATTCATCCGGTCAATTGTGCTCACCACCATAATTCTGAATATTTTTTTTAAAAAAGAGAACCTTATGTCCTTTAGATCTTGCAATTAATAATTTTGTATTACTATTATTCCATAAACAGTTTCTGTGATTTAACTATCTATATATATTTTTTTCTCAAGTCAAAATCAAAGGGCTTGGTCTTAAGAATGGAATTTAATGTCTCCTCAACATAATACATGCATGTTAGTAAATTTGAAAAACATACACATATGGTAAATGCAACATAGGAAAATTTGGTCTCAACGGTTGTTTTTCCACCTACTTTTCTTCAATTTCCCAATGCCAAGGGTGTTTTCAAAGCAAGTTGTAGAAGGATGGCCCTAAGAGTGAAAGCACGGCTTTAAATATCCCAAGGTATTTTTTGTTAACCTGACTTATTGCGGAGACGGACAGAAACCACAATATACAACCACACATAATTAGAAGTCGTAGCATATAAAGACAGCCACGCAAAGCATGCAAATACTCCCACAAAGCAGACTATCTGAAAGGAAATATCAATGTTGACCAAATTTATTAAGGATCCTTTATGAAATCTCTGGAACGGAAAGTCCTAGATTTATGTAAATCAACAAGGTTCATCTTTTCCGACTGAAATGCTTCACACCAAATTTAAAATACATCTGTAGTCCCTGTCGCTAGTTGAACAAGGTTTTGTTCATCTCTCATCACCCCAATGCTTCACACCAGATTTGAAAAAAAATCTGTTAAAAATTGTACCCTCTATGGCATTAACCAAGTTTTCAGAAATGGGGGATAATTCAGCAACTACAGGTCGCAGAGTGCTGAAAATCAATAGAGTTCATCCTCTTATGACCCCAATGATTCGGGCCACATTTCAAGAAAATCTGTTTAAAATTGCAGCCTCTATCGCCATAACAAGTCAATTGTGGGAGGAGAGACATGGCTGACGACATAAAAATATGGCACCAATCAATTCACCAGACCTAAGAAACAAATGCCAAGAATATGAAAACATTTAGGACAAAATTCTGGCTATTTAAAAATACTTCATCAAAGTTGAACGAATTACTATTTTGATATTTATTTAATAATATCCCCTACTATAAAACTTGAGATACTTTTGAAGAATATGTAGTATGCTTTAAAAAAGAAACTCTCCACACAAAACATGGACTCGCAGATGTGAGTGCCAGTTATTCAATAGGGCGTCCAAAAATGGTTGAAATGACCAAATATATGCTTCCTGAGATTTTTCATATAACCAAGTAAACATCATGTCAATCGTGTTAAACACTAAACATAGATTTAACACAACTCACGTACATTCAGTAACTGCCAAAAGATTATAATTGTGGCCATCTATCCTAACAAGATTTTTATTAACAGAGATTTATGAACTAAAAAGAATTTAACAAGTCATAAAATAAAGGATCCTGACAATATTCATTGTCAACAGAAAGAGTACTGACAACAACATACAATGGCCAATAAAAAATAAATCTGATATACAATAATATTTCCAATAGTAACAAAACTATATATTTAACTTAAGAAGTGAGATACTTGATAAATAAAAATAAAGCAGTCTGCAAAAGAAAATTATAAAAACTAAATAAATACAAAGACAAAATTAAGATAAAGTAACATTGTGTCACCCAAAACCATAGAAAATAGCTGTAATTCACCCAGACGTGTAAGATTAAAATCAAACGAAAATCATAACATATTATATTCATTGAGAAACAGACAACGATACTCTGGAAATTAAATTGCTTATCAAACTATTCTTTTAAAATTTTGACAGCAATTGTTCAATTTTGTTTGAATTTAAGAAAAGAACCTCATTTAATTTGAATAGTTAAATACTATCCTTTCAAAACTAAACAAGCCAACATCCCAAAATAAATAGATGACACATATTAATTTATCGTAAATTTATTTTTTTCAAAAGTATCAAGCAATCAAACAGATTATCAATTATACACTAAGTTTCATCACTCTCTATCAGATAGAATCAAAGTTATCTTGTCCTAAATGAAATTGCTTAGCTCTGCTTAGCTTTAGCTCGAAATGTTAATCATTGAACTCAGTCAAGACATCTACATCAAGTTCAAACATTCTACTTCAATTAAAAGCAGAGTTGTTATGTTCCAAAGTCTAAGCAGAAATTCTCATCATCGAACTTAGTCAAGGTAATGATGTAATGAATCTATACTCAGAGTTTCATCACTCTTACTTACTTAGTTATCGTGCCCCAAAGCATCAACCAATTAGATTGCTTATAACTGCTTACCGTAAGCAGACAATGTTTATCATCAAACTCCTTCAAGGCATTCACCTAATGAACGCCTACACCACAAGTTATTGTGTTCCAAAGTCTCGACCAATCAAATGGCTTATCAATCTGCTTACCCTAAGCAGAAAGTGCTCATTATCAAACTTAGTCAAGGTATTATTGTGTCCTAAAAAGTGACGGACAGACAGACGGACGAACCCATTTAAATAGTCCCCTGCTAAAGCCGGGGGACAATAAATCCTACACATTCTGGGGTAAAAGAAATTTTAATATTTTATTTACTACTAGCAGTGGCAAAGAATAACTAAATTTGAAAAAAAATTAACTTTGGACAAAATTGTTTTAGACTAATAAGTTTGGGCCACAAATTTTCTAGCATTTACAGGCATACAAAATAATCATACATGTATCATATACATGTAGGAAAGGCCAGTCATACAATTATTCTTCTCCAATTATTAAGTATAAAATTCAAACCCAATCCAAAATATATATACATGTATGTATATCTTTGAAATTAAATTACAATTAAAATTATATTGAAATTACATAGTGACAGTCAAAATGCATAATAAAAAATACCAGATAAAGATAAATTTCCCAAAATTCCAAGAATAATTTCAAAAGTTGGACTTAGAGAGGAACATACTGTAAATTTTTTCAGTGAAATAAAAATGGAAAAAGCTTGACAATGATAGCAGACAAAATGCACGGATGTAAAAACATGAGTGGCTTGCACTGTGTCCACTTACCCAAGCTATAAAATACCTAGGTTTATGTGAATATTGAATCTGCAATTAAAATCATTCACCTTCATTCAAGATTTCATTTTTATATAATGCATATGGCCCCAAATATCATTTTTGACAATGCTAGGTGTTCATAATTTTTCATGACTTCTGAACAACATTAAAAATCTACACAGCACCTAAAGCAATATTACTAGTAAATTCATATATTTGTATAATAAATCATAAGAATGTACTTGTGTAAACAAGATTATTATGATGTAACAGGATCAAAGATAGGTTGCCAGGCAACGAAATATATGCCCACATCAGCTAAATCGTCCAGGTAGTCAACAAGAGTTGTCGCATATTTTTTCTTTTGTCGGTAATAAAACATTTTTATACACTAAAATATGTTTAAAAGTAACAACTCATTGAGTAATTATCAGAAAATCATTATAATTTGTTTGGCTTCTAGTTCTGCCCCATGCTAATGTTTAGCATACAAAACATTTAATATCAGAGATTTAGCTGTTCAAGTTATCAAAAATCATTGGAAATCAATATACTTTTTTGTCTCAAGACCTTAAAGTCTGTATCAATCTAAAGTCAATCGAATGATTACTTTGGCCTGTACAGCATCAGCAAAATGTTCCAAAGTAATTAAGGGCCCTAACTCTGGCAGTAATTATTGGAAATCCTTGATAATATATAGGTGCCTTCGTCTCATGACCGTAAACACGGTGTATAAATTTAAAATCAATTGCATGATAACTTTAATCTCTACAGAATCCATAAGATTTTTCAAAGTGATTATCGGAAAACGTTGAAAATCAATAGGCTTGTTCGTCTTAATAGGCTTATTCGTCTGATGACCTTTAACATCGTTTTGAACTTTAAAGTCAATCAGATGTTAACTTTAGCTTCTAGAGCCTCCACAAGATATTTCAAAGTGATCAAGGGCCATAAGTCTAACAGTAATTATCGTAAATCGAGGAAAATCAATAGGCTTCTTCGTCTCATGACAGTAATCACTGTGTAGAAATTAAAAGCCAACCGAATATTAACTTTAGCCTCTTGAGCATCCACAAGATATTTCAAAGTGATCAAGGGCCATAACTCTGGCAGTACTTATCGGAAAAAACTTTGGAAATCAATAGGCTTGTTCGTCTTAATAGGCTTCTTCGTCTGATGACTTTAAACACTGTGTATGAATTTAAAGTCAATCGGATATTAACATTAACCTTTAGAGTGTCCACAAGATTTTTCAAAGTGATCAAGGGCCATAACTGTGGCAGTAATTATCGGAAATCATTAAAAATCAAGAGGCTTCTTCGTCTGACGACCTTAAAACACTGTGTATACATTTAAAGACAGTCGGATATCAACGGACGGACAGGGGCGACAACAATATACGACCACATTTCAATGTGGGCGTATAAAAACACCGAAGAAAGAAAATTGACAAATAAGTACTTCTAAAGCATATGCAAGGTACTCATATTATCAAGCCTTTTTTTTCATTTAGTCTTTTTTTTTTAGTTATAGCTTCATATTTTAAGACTCTTGTATTGAAATTTAAAAAAAATAAAATTCATGGATTTTATCCAAGCCCATTGTCTCTGGAATACTGAATTTGATTGACAGAGGAATCTCATGATAGTATTTTGTCCTACTGTTCTGTCCCAGCTTGTGTCAAATAACCATACCACTAGTAGTAGCAGCATCATTTAGTACAAGAGACTTTACATCATACAAAAAGCCTTCCACTGATTAATTGTTTGTTCCTCAGCCAATGTTCTATGGTGTATGTTTCACAATTAGAATGTCTCCTATATAGCTTTATGTATAACTAAAGCATGTACATTAATTTCTTTTTAGAAATAAACTTATTGACGAGCTAATTGCATCTTTTATCATCTGAATATTTCTTAAGTAAACAAAAAGTACAATGCACTTTTAATCTATCTAAGACCAAATTAAATATAAATATTCTTAATCAAACTCAAAGGTATTAGTTTACCTGAGGTTCAACAGGTTTTGGAATAAATTGACTCCAAGGATCAGGTAAAGATGCTTCAGATCGCATTGTATCTACTGCCTGGAGAGACCGGGAATTAATTTGAAGTAAGTGACAGCATGTAGGTGGGAATGTGGATTTCATCATTTGATAGATGGATTCAGCTCTATAAAATACAAACATCACTACATCATATTTCAAACAAACCTTGAACTAGTAACTGAGCATTTTTATGTAACAAATATAGATTTCTTATACATTGTATGCAATTCAATGCATACCAGTAAATTTTATATTCTTTACATTTCATAAAACCGTCTGAGCGTCAGAATCCCTTGCAAACTACAATATTGTTAAAGTTGAAATGAAATTAAACAAAATGGGGTTTACTGTCCTACTTCCTGCTCAAACCGAGCTGCATACGCCATGCAGTGTGCCATGAGGGAAATTTTGCCCTAACAGCAGCATCTACTCTTCATTGAATTCCAACTGTAACAGGATTCTTATATGTGTACACATGGCCTCATTATAATGTCCCATCTGAAGGACTAAATTCTGACATGGGGAAACCACAGTGAGCTTTCTTCGCCATCACAGGGATTACTCAATTTAATTTGGGGACTTGACACAACAAAAAAAGGTTCAATACTTGGTTAACACAATAATCAGATATTATGATTAATACTGTGTGACATTATCCAATATCCTATGATTTAGGTATTCAGGTATGAAGTATGTGTAAGACCAACCTTGCTTGCTCTCCTTCTATCACATCATGTAGCAGTACAAAATAGTGGAGAATGCCTTGACAAAACCAGCGTGGTGTTTTATTAGGAAACTGTTGTTGCTGTTGGAGTTGTTGATTAGCTAAACTCTGAAAGGTTGCCACAGGATCAGCATGGCTTGATGACACAACAAAAATACCTGTCCTTTGCTAAGGAAAGTACTTTTAAAGATTGGGGGAAGCATGGGCATCACAGTATATCATGATTAAGTCAATCATGGAGCATTTACAAGGTTTCAATTAGAGAGTAATAATTTCTTTTGTTAGGGTCCAGAACTTCTGTAACAAGGACAATAACCAGGCCTTCACATGAATAAGTTCCTGAAGAGTAAAAAAAAAAGCTCTCCTGAAATTGGAAAAAGGGTAAATCACTCTCCTGAATCTCTTGAGGAGAGCTTTTTTACCATTTGTGACAAGAACAGGGACTTTAATCCATTTTGAAATCAACCAGGAAGAAATGGGTTAAATGAGATTCCGGTAGGAAATAGGGTAATTAGAAGCTCCCATTAACTTTAATATAACCCGACTTCAACAAAAATAAGTTTTGGTAATTTGTTATGGAGAATGTCGTATTCTGAATAGGCTAATATATGACTTGAAGTTCAAGTCAGTAATATTCCTAAATAAATTACTGTCTTCGTTTATTCGATGGATAAACGGATATCATCAGTCGATCGAAATTAGGATTTTTCTACTACGGTCCGTATCAGAAAATGCAGTAGCCAAAACAATCTGATACGACACCATGGCATTTCTTCATATTTAAAACAGAAATTATTGTTTTTGTCTTATCACGTAACTAACAAAGTTTTTATTCATTCATGCGGCACAATAATCACGTGAGAACCATAATTGAAATTGCTTTATATAAAATAAAATTCCGTACAACTATGCCATAGCCTTAAATAACTCTCTGTCAGCATGTGTATAAAATATAAAAGAATAAACTAAAACGTTATTTAAAACTAAATCTAGCAATGCTGGTTTATTGACCTAATACCAACTGATGCATTTCATTATCGTGAATCGGAAAGCATTGGAGATCCTGGCGGAAAATATATTATTGTCTGTATATCCAATTATACTATTCAAAAAAAGTAGGGGATATTTGATTTTTAAGTGTTATTAAAGTCACCTAATGAAACTGACGAAGAAACAAATGACAAAATGAAATGAAGTTCACATTCATCGATTTATTCCAAATGATCGTTAGACTAAGTAAGGCACAGACTGACCATTATAAGGGTAAAATGATACCCGGGGTCAAACAGCAAAGTTACCACAGCATCACAACCAAGTCAGTAACGGGTAAATCCTCCTCTGTTTGCCAAACAAGCATTGATCCGACGTGGCATACTCCTAATGAGACGTCTAAGGTCATTTTGGTCCAGATTGTCCCATTCCTGTTGCAACGCAGCAGCAAGTTCTTGGACATTGGCAGGACGTTGTTGACGTTGACGTAACCTCTGTCCAAGCATGTCCCAGACATGCTCGATGGGGGAGAGGTCGGGACTCAGTGCTGGCCAAGGTAATGTGGTGATGTTCTGTTGTTGGAGGTAACCTGTAACGATCCTGGCCCTGTGACATCTTGCGTTGTCATCCTGGAAGATGAAACGGCGGCCATGACGTCGTGCGAACGGCACAACATGGACTGCCAAGATGTTGTCCCGGTAGTACTGGCCTGTAACACGCCCTGCAACAACATGTAAAGCCGTTCTTCCAGCAACAGTGATGCCTCCCCACACCATAACAGAACCACCCCCAAATCGATCATGTCTGATGACGTTAACGTCTTGGAAGCGCTCGTTTCGACGACGCCAAACCCTCCTACGTCTGTCCAAAAAATCAACAGTGAACCTTGACTCATCTGAAAACATCACATTGCTCCAGCGTCGATTATCCCAGTGTTGACGATCCCTACACCAACGACGTCTTGCCTGAATGTGATGATCTCTCAAACAAGGGATCACGCGAGGACGTCTGGCGCAAAGGTGACCCCTATGCAGTCGATTCCGAATCGTCTGGCCACTCACTCTCACACCAGTGTCTGTTTGAAGACAAGCGCTGATCTGATTTGCTGTGATGACACGATTTCTCAAGGCCAAGGTACGGATAAATCGATCCTGGGCTTGAGTTGTCGCCCTTGGTCGACCTGAGCGTGGTCTGTCCTGTACAGATTGTGTATCACGGTATCTGGACCATAGCCTGCTTATGACAGACTGAGAAACATTCATCGTCCGCGCCACAACCGCCTCTGTTGTGCCGATCTGTAGCATGCCAAGGGCACGTAACCTTTCATTTTGGGTAAGCCGACGCATATCAAAATTTGTTTTCTGGTCACTAAAACAATTAAACTGATGTTTCCACCCTGGAATTCAATGCCACAATGACTGTAACATTCAAAGTCAGAGTCGTGCAAATCTTGGGTTGGACCCCCATGATGATCCCAAGCATCACCTGCATTCCATGCGGTAGCTATTGGTGCGTTTGGGCGTCACATGTAACTGGAAATGTTTCTTCTGTTAGGTTCTATAGTGACTTTTTTCGTAGTCATTTGCATATTTTAGTATTATGCCCCCAAAATCAAATATCCCCTACTTTTTTTGAATAGTATATTATTTAATATCTACCTGGAATTCATACGGATCAAGCGTCACAGACCATGCCGAGCAATGTGCCTTCATTTGCCACGTGGCTTATTATTACAAAGTAAACTTACTGGACATGTTATGAATAACCAGCAAGCTTGTTTTGTTTATTCTTTACCGAATTATCAAAATTACTGTTAAATGTGCTAATTACTCGGATTATGAACCAGATGGCTGATTCTCACTAAGGTACATGTATGACTGCTATTGTAGCCGACAAGCAAGTTGATTGTCGATATTGACAGTATTTTTCGTTACCGGTTTACTTTTCCTGATTGTTTTCTTTGAGAGGAGTCAAATTTAGACATTGAGGCGAGCTATAAAAATCACACCTCGACTGACATCCATGCGCGTCCAGGAGAGTGAGAGTGATCTCGCTCATTTTACGTGAATGCCTGAATAACCCTCTGAATTTCGATAAGGTGTCTCCTTATGAATAGCAGAAAAATTCTAGTCAGTTTTAAGGAAAAATCTGAAATTTTTTACTTGTACAGTGTGTTTACTAGAATACTGAAGGAATGTAGAAACGAAGAATTTATGCCCTCAAACAATCTGGGCATATTTTAAAAAAAGATACATCCTAAACAGTTGTTGAGATATTCGTGATCTGATGGTGGCATTATCTTCAGAAACATTTCTCTATATGACTCAAACCATGGTGTTGATGCTAGAACGAATCATATATCAAAATGAATGAATTTTTCAAAGTTCATATGTACTTACATTGTATATACCTATACAATATACATGTCTTGCATTCTTAAATTTTTATCATGTATGAAACAACAAAACTATGTTTAAATAACACTGTTGCAATATATAAGTTTTTTTAGAGTTTGCATTTAGGAATTACAATTGGTTGATAAAAACAGATGGCTACCAACTATGTTTTAGGTCTTTAATGTAAACAAAATCACAAAAGATCAAAATAATCTATGTAATAAGCTTATAATTCTTACAATTTAACTGTAGGTCATAGTTTCCTACTGATGTCACATTAGATTTTCCACCATCTCTAGATGGTAATTGCGTATTGGCCACTGCATCATTGAGTAGTTTTCTTATAGCTGCTGGTTGTGTCGGATAACCAGGGTTTGTCATATCACAAACATTTAGTCGGAGGTTTCGTATCACATGAGGAAGATTGTTAGGATCTCTTGTATGCACTGAAAAACATTAAATTAATCATCACATATAAAAACATTACAGGAGTACTCCCAGTTGGTTTAAAGTAGCCAATTCCATAACTCAATATCATCCAAAGTCTTCGACATTGGAAACACAAATTTTTTTGCAATTTAAATCAGCATTGGTGTTGTGATCTTACCTGGAAAAGATGGGCTTTTGATATCCAATATTTAAGACAAAATAAACATTTTACCATTGGTACACGAATCGTGTACCATAATCATGATAATGCGTTTCAGCGCCATTTGTAACAAGGTGCTCAAAGAATGAGGCTAGACATATTCCACAAGTCATGTCAAAAGGTTATATCATGTTATTATTTGGAGAGCATGCGCAATAAATAATATCGGTGTTGACTGGAATAACCAGACGCTAGAAATTGACTTGCTGTTCAGACTTCTGGTGTATTTCGCCGAACATAACTGATGACAATTCACAGTAAAACGGACACGATTGAATGTAAAACAGTTTATATAAATTCATTATTATATGTGTTGCGACCCATTTGTGCCAATTTCTAGGTCCAAAATAATAGCGATTTAGCTCCTTTAAGTAAGCTTAAATGCATGCTAAAGAATAAAAAGTGAAGAAATAGCCCATTGTCATAATTTGGAAAGAAGTAAAGACAAGACACTGATGAAGTAATGAAACTGTCAGAATTAGGGGTGGCAATGGATAATGTTGGAATGAATATCCTAGAGAGACATGATCAAATATAGGGTCCTTGTCAATCGGTACTGCACATAATTCATAGTGCTCTTAGGAATATATACACAACGACACATGGGGTGTTTACAGCATTTACCTTCTGTGGCTAATCTACAAAAAGGTTGAACCAACTGTACAAAAGTCAAATTATTTTTCTGACACAACACTTCAGCTTCAGCACTACACAAAACCGCAACGTGCGGACTAAAAGTATTCTGTATAAATTCTTCGGCTGTTTGCTTGCACTTCGCCATTATTTTGCCTTTTAATTAAACGTACAAATCTAAATTGACTACATAATTAATATAAAATTATCCATTCTCCTTCACTTATGTGTCAAGTCATGCGCCATATTGATATTCTGAGTTCCCCCACTTCCGGGCGAGATCAAAGGGAAATAAGCTTGTGGATTCAGACTGGTTAATATCTCAAATTGCATGGCCTCATAATATATGAGTAATTTAAAACATTTACGATACGCTTAATTTTTTATGATCACAAAAGGCCGAATATTTCACAGACTGTGACATTATATATATTACACCATTATACATTAACGTCCATGACAATAAAATGTCAGGCCCGGCGGAGTGTGTGTGGTGGTGGTGGAGGCGTTTATCACATGCAAGTAACTATTTTAACATAGAAATGATTAGGAAAATCTTTAAAAACAGCCGCTAAATTCCGACTTCAACACAGAATTTGAACATATTAATTATTATCTTTCTATAATTGCCATGATTTTAAATCCATCTCACTTCCGATGTATCTATGACAGATTATATAGAGGTAATCAAAACAAAATCCGACCGGATAGAGTTTTTCTCACATTCTTTCCTTGCGCCCCTTATCCATTAAAATGACAAATAATTCACTGCTATCAGTTATGGCCAGTTCAAACAAGCGGTTGCCATTCAAGATACGCCCACAAAGTGTCAAGAGATGGTCAGGGAACAAGCTATAAAAAAAAAAACCCCAACAAAAACAGGCGATTTTTCGTACAATCAGGGGTCATAATCCAGGATGTTGAGACCCAACATGCTTCAATATTGAAAGGAACAAAACTTACATTATAAGTTTCATCAAATTCGGATAAAAATTCTGACCTCTAGAGGATCCACAACCTTGGTATTATTCTAATTGCGTAAAGGGGAGCAGGCATTTTGTCAGACAGATTTAAAAATCAAATAAAAATTGTGACCTCTAGAGGGTTAATTATAACAAGATTAAAACGTGATTTTTTATACTGTCAGGGTCATAATCCAGGAAGTTACTGTCCGATATGTGATAATATCGAAAGGAGTCGATATTTGGGATATAAACATATATATAAAGTTTCATCAAAATCGAATAAATATTATAATCTCTAGTGGATCTACGTTACATTCCACAACGCATTCCACAACCTTGGTATTACATACTTTTACACTATTTGCACTCGGGAAACCTTTGCAGATTCCGGTACCCTTAATCCAGCACTGAACTCTGCTGAGGTTTGCCAAGAGCACTATTTGCTTACGAGGAGCGACAATTTTGTCGTCCAATTTCGTCTGATTTTCCCGAAATTCGAACTCAACCTTCATTAGGGTGTAACGGTGATTTGAACGTTTTTTAAAATCGAATAAAAGGTGTGACCTCTAGAGGAGCCATGACAAGCTAAAAACGCGGCTTTTCATATTATCAGGGGCCATAATCCAGAAAGTTATGGTCAGATCTATGCAAATATCGACAGGACCTGAGATCTTTGCGTTATAAACATACATTGTAAGTTTCATCAAATCGGAAAATATTGCGAACTTTAGTGGGTCCACAAGTTGAAAACGTGATTATTCGTACAATCAGGGGTCATAATCCATGAAGTTACGGTCCCATACATGACAATATTGAAAGGAACCGAGATCTATAAAACTATATTTCAAGTTTCGTCAACATCGGATAAAAATTGTGACCTGTAGCACAAACAAATGTGACGACAATAAGCGTCCACATGCAAATGTGGGCTTACAAAAATGTGATACGTTTATGAAAGCATTAAACTGTAAATATGTGTCTGCTGTTAAAGTACCCTTAATGCGGCTTAAAGCGACCAAAGATCCGTAGTCTGTTTTCATTATTTACGCATTTGTTGGCGACCTGCTGAGTACCATGCAGTCCTGTGCAGTGTCGCTGGCTAGATGAATTGAAATTGAACCATATGTTAGTCCCAAAATGACCTAGTTTGTGTCGAGCGGATATTAACTCGTGACTCCGACGATCTAGACCATGCACGCGAAGCTTACAGGGCCTAAGTGGCTCCTAGACCCTTGCCTTAAGTCATCAAGAATTGCTTTAGCCGTGGCTAAATTTATTGAACATGTATATAGCGACAAAATTAAACTTGTTAAGCTGCCCTTTGACGTTTGTACAAAAAGATAAATACATGATTATAAACACACTGTTTATTAATATTATTTAGACCTCATTCTAGGCTACAGAACTTTTACAGCGGCAAAAAGCTTTATGATTGTAACAAAGTATCGTTTGAGAATAGATTAAAATTGTAAGAGAATTTAGAAACCTCAAAATAATGAGAGCACATGCACATGAAATGAAAATGTAAAATTACAGCAATTTAATTCAAATACGTTCATAATTAATCCAATCTTCACTCAAAGTCGTATAGACCTGCCCTATCAACGACTTTGTCAATTATCGAAAACACTCTTTAATTCCCTCAAACTCCAGTGACGGCATATAGTGACCGAAGGCATAATTATTATTGCAAATGCTTATTCAGCATTATTGGTCATCTGAAAATTAATTAGACAATGGAGGAAGAATATTTACAGTGATCTTGTAGGTATTTTTTTTTCAATTCGGACCAGTTGTTTGTAGATAAATGGTTGCTATTGCCCCCATACATGTTTTGCACTCTCTTCGTAACGATTCGGCTTTTGCAAATTTAGGAAACATAATTATCCACAACCCTCTATCACATGTGGCATATGAATTCACATTTCCTCTAGAATATTATTTCCAATCACAGGCTTACAATTTAGAACAAATGAAAACGAGAATACGACAAAAGCCTTGTTAGCAACTGGCATTTCTGGTCTTGAATAATTGTAATAGAGTCTTGAATTGTAATGGAGTAAATTTTATAAATGACACATCTTTGTGTGGCTGGGAGTTGTGGAAGTCCAAAAGAGGCGACATGATGCGCCATCATTACATAAAGTATGAATTATTACGGAAAGGGTGGATTATGAAAATTATTCAAATTCGGAATACGCAAAAAAAACACCCCAAAACAAAATAATTCCGGATTCTATTCGCACAATTCAACGATCCTTTCCTCTATCGACATCATATCTAAACCATAGTTAGCAGAACAGAAATCAATACGTTTTCATTATGAAATATTTCACAGAAAATAATTCAAAAGATGCAAATATGTGTGTGTGTGTGTGGGGGGGGGGGGGTATTCATAGCTTAGGTAATTATTAGTCAAGCCAGAATGTTAATTGAAGGGCACTGTGAATCCACATCAGCTAACCGGTGATGTATAAAAATGTGTAGTCCCTGGGATCGTTCAGAATGCCCTGGGATGTCACGAGCCAATCTATGGAAGGATAACGTTGCCAATATTATTTCAATGTTCACTGTACAAACTGATGTCAGCAGTTCAAAACACGTATTTTAGTTTTACAAATTGTAATTTCCATTGATCCACAATAACAGTGTCACAGTGTTAAAATACAAAATACACTTTTCAATCATACAAATACAGTATAATATCACGATGTCCAAAAGAAAGTATACACACGAAAAGTATGACTAAGTTTTGTTTAGATTAAAAACATTTGATAAAGCATTACTGAGTTTGTCTCTTGCGTCCAAACTCAACATTTCTAAGCAAAATAAAAATGTGAAACAAATTGACATTCTACCCAAATACCGTATATATGGTGGCTGATTGGTATGAAATGAAATGAAATGAAATGGGGTTTAACGTCCTACTGTTCTGCCCCTAACCTGGGCTAATGAAGACGGGCACACGCTTTACAGTGTGCTATGAGGGAAATTTTGCCCGGGCAGCGGCGGTACGGCCTACTCTCATATCGAATTCCAACTGCCAAGGGATCTTTTACGTGCACGCCAATGTGTACACGGCCATTAAAAATGCGGGGCTTAATCCAAAGTTCCGTATATCTATACTGAAAAGTAAAGTTAATCCTCTCTTGAAATGTAATTATTATATTTTCGGCGGAATGCATATATTTTTTTTTAATTAAAATTCATACAAGCTTGGTAGCCTTCACTGGCTGAATTAAAGAGAGTGGCGGGGTGGGGTGAGTGTTTAATGTCAACATACGTGTCTTAATACGAAATTCCAGTTATTGTGTCGTATATCGGGGGGGGGGGGGGCTGAATGATTTGCGTGTGCGCGCTGTATCATAAAGTCTGTCATTGAGTCAACTGGCGTGGTTTCTATTCCCCGGTTGCACGTGACAGGCGGCCCTACTCCTTGTCATGTAGTCACGTATAGCCATGGAGTCGAAACCACGCCACTTGACTCAGTGACAGACCTTATGATACAACGCGCACGTGCTAACCATTCGGCCGTCCGATGGATTGTTTATTACACTTGAAATACACATCGAGAAGTATATTGTAGCTGTAATACATAAATCAGTATTGCACTGGTAATGCATATAGATCGGGAGGGTGTACATTGACAATCTAAAAGACATAGGTAAGTTATCCAAAATTCATATTCATGAAAAGTTGGCAAGTAAGCAAGGAATGTTACAGGGAACGGGCCACAGAGGACCATATGCCAATCCAATTGTCTTTTTAACACAGTGTTTGGCAACAATGTAAAACATTGCGTTAAACAGTTCTCCATAATTAGGGTTTCACACTGCGTAGCTTGTGTGAAACACTATTGTTTTTGTTAAAATTATTAGGGTTTCACACTGCGTAGCTTGTGTGAAACACTATTGTTTTTGTTAAAATTATTATTAGGGTTTCACACTGCGAAGCTTGTGTGAAACACTATTGTTTTTGTTAAAATTATTATTCTTATTATTATTATTATTCTTCTTTTGTTTTGAGTAGATCTCAGCAACTACTTGTCGCATCGTTACGATTTCTTCGGTTTTACTGGGAAAGTGGGTGTGACTTAGAGGATAAAGCTATTTTGAACGTTCTGCGACAATGCGAAATGTCCGAAATCACCGAAGTTATCGTTTTTACAAATATTGCGGTAATTTTAACAATAATCATGGGATTTTAACTTTCGATACATTTTGGCATAGCTGGAGACAGGGCACATAGCTGCGCTACTTTCGATTTTTGATTTTCAGCAA